CCATTACTTGTTTCTATCTATCTTTAGAAGTGATTCTTTCACAGGTAGGCACGTGTTCCAACCATTTGTAATGGGCCCTCTGATTTTTTCATTCACTCTCTTTAAAAACTGAAAGCATGCCAGGGATTTAGTTCAGTGGTGTAAGCATAAGGTCATGCTTAAGCATAAGGTGGCAAGCATAAGGTCATGAGTTTGATCCCAGGTACCAAAAAAAAAAAAAAAAATAGAAAGCATTTGTGTAGGTCTCTCTCTCTCTCTCTCTCTCTCTCTCTCTCTCTCTCTCTGAATTAGTGCTTTAATTTTGCTAGCAGTTCTTCCTTCTTTAAACATGATTGTTACAGCTAGAACTAATCATAGCTTATGCTTTTGGGAAGACATGTTAGAATTAGAGGAATGAGTTTCCAGAGAAGGGAGGGATGCACATTAGTGTGAGTAGCTAGTCTAGTCTGAGCTGTTTTCTCTCACTCTCCAGATAGAAGCCCCCTGCTCTGCAGCAGGTCACCTCAGGAAATGCCTTGAGGATACACAAACCAAGGTGGGGTTAAAGGGATGACTGTTTTCCTCTCTTTGGGAAACTCAATGTCAAATTCTTACTCTTTGGAAATGTATTCTTTTTTTTTTTTTTTTTTGTCTTTTTTTATCGGTACCAGGAATCGAACTCACGACTGCCTGATTGCAAGGCAGGTGCTTATGCCACTGAGCTAAGGAATGTATTCTTTTTTTTGGTCTTTTTCCTTTTTATTGATACTGGGGATCGAACTCACAACTGCCTGCTTTCAAGGCAGGCGCTTATGCTGCTGAGCTAAACCCCCAGCCCCTAGGAATGTATTCTTACACTGGATATTTTTGACCTTCAAGTATTGAGAAAGAGCTGCTGAATATTTTTCTGCACCCATGCATGCTCTGGCTCCTCCTTAGACACAAAATAGAATGCAAAGGAAACTTTTTTTTTTGGTACTGGTAGTCGAACTCACCACCTTGTGCTTGCCAGGAAGGCACTTATGCCACTGAGCTAAATACCAGGCCTATTATGAACTATTTAACAACCAGAATTGTCAATGGAGCATGGTGGCAGAACTCTGTAATCCCAGCACTCAGGAGCCTGAGACAGGAGGATTGTTGCAAGTTCAAGGCCAGCCTGGGCTACAAAATGAGTTCAAAGCTAGCCTAAACTGCATAGCAAGACTCTATCTCAAAGGACAATAACAGAATCAAAACAACTAGAGTCATATTGGTAAGAGAGAAGAAAAATAGTCAGAATTACCATATGTTCAGACTTTCTTTCCATTAAGAGCTAATCCTTACTTGTGTTCTAAATGTAAATGTGAGCCACAGGAAAACCAGATACCCCAGGCCTTCAAACCACAACTGCATGCATCTACGCTGGTGAGCTGGAGGCTCCCCTCCTTGCTCTTCAGATCCTAAAGTTTCTAAACCATCAGTAAAGCCTCTAGACTACCTCCACCCCTATCTGATATTGTTCAAATTCCAAAGATGGTATTCCTTACAAGAGATAAGTGGGGAATTCAGCCCTACCCATCCATGTGACCTCAAATAGATCAAACAAAATCTGAGTGCTTTCAGGTGACTGATAAATCCACCGAGGTCTTTAGGTGATCTGCTCAGACCTATGAACTAGACTGGAATGATATACCATTATTCTTAAATCTAACATTGTCTTCTAATGAGAGACAAACAGCATTATAAGCTACTGTTATATATGGAGATAAGTATCATAGTGTTAATGTTAGAAAAGCCAGAAGACAGGCAGCCAGGATAACTGTGATCCCTACACAAGACCCCTACTGGCTGACCAACCAGATGGGAGAATGAAATAGGAGACACCTTCAGACATGTATTCTTAAAGGTTTAAGAATGAGAAATAAGTCTTCCAATTATTTATTTTTAAATTAGATTTTTTTTGTCTTTTTCATTTTTATCGGTACCAGGGATCGAACTCATGACCGCCTGCTTGCAAGGCAGGTGCTTATGCCGCTGAGCTAAATCCCCAGCCTAAATTAGATTTTATTGGTACATTTTAGATATACATAACAATTACATTCATCATAGAGAATTTGTACCTGTACATGATATAACTTGGTTTTCTTCCCCATTCCCCTACCTTCCAATTATTTTATTTTATTTATTTTGGTACCAGGGATTGAACTCATGACCTCATACTTGCCAGGCAGGTGCTTATGCTGCTGAGCTAAATCCCCAGCCCTTTCTAATTATTTTATATTGTCAACTATTCATCAGGAGAAAGATAAAAACCTCTCTGCCTTCTTAGGTTGTTTACAAGAGGCATTGACAAAACACACATCCATGGTTCCTGGTTCAATAGAAGGACAGATTATTCTTAAAGTTTAGTACTCAGCCAGCTTCAGATATTAGGGAAAAGCTACAGAAGTAACTTTTGCTCCAAATGCTCACTTGACACTTCAGTGAGAACTGCCTCCTTGGAATATTATAATCAAGACCAGGCCCAGGGGGGAAAACAGAGAGACCAAGAGAAAGTGATGGCCTTGGTTGCAGCCTTAAGAGTCTGACTCTTAAGTCTGATTCCTTGGGCTCCAAAAAGAGCTGGAGGACTAAACCCCATTGCTAATGCTGTGGAAGGCCACCTCAAGAGGAACTGTGATAAAAGCTATCACAAGAGCCCGCTGAGTCACACTCCTGATTGCAAAGGTGGCCACCAGAAGTCGGACACTCCTGGGATGGAGGTTATGGGGAACAGACTCATCTTCCCAGGGGGTCTAGCAAGACTGAAGGCCCAGGGTGGGGGGCACCCTCTGCCTGCCTCCTCTGGCCAGACTCCTTCATGGTGGAGCCTGGGATGACTATAGAGGGAAAGAAACCTATTGCTGCACACTGGCCTGTGTCTCTCAGTGCTTCTTTTCTTTTCTTTTCTTTCTTTTTTTGTCTTTTTCGTTTTTATCGGTACCAGGGATCGAACTCACGACTGCCTGCTTGCAAGGCAGGCGCTTATGCTGCTGAGCTAAATCTCCAGCCCCTCTTTTCTTTTTTGAGACATAGTCTCACTATGCAGTTCAGGCTCCTTGGACTCATGTTTGTAGCCCAGGCTACAAAAGTTCAAGGCCAGCCTGGGCTACAAAATGAGTTCAAAGCTCAGGAGCCTCCTGCCTCAGCCCCCAAATGTTGGGATTATGAGAGTGCACTACCACACCTGGCCTTTCCTTCCTCTTTTCAACCCTAGCCTTCTTTCCAGCTGTCATACTTCAGGGAAAGGAGTTACTGGAGAGGAGGTAGCTCATTATTTCTCACACCTCTTAGGCTATAACTGGGAGGCTTCCTCTTCTTCATTCCTTTTTAATTGTGGTAGGAAGTTCGGTTACCTTCCTGGGGAGAGATGTCTCATCTTGATTAAATACTGCAGTTTATCTGCACCCAGGTCAGGTACACTGCCTCCCCCTTGTGGAGACAGAAATAAACCCTAAAGTATGGGCACTAAAGGTAGAAAAAGAGCAAAAAGGTCTGCTCCATTGCAAATACATCTCAAGGACCGTACCATTTTTCCTCACTAGAGACAGTATCCTCTAGAACCTGAAGTTAAAAAAGGATACTGTGTACAACTGACAACCTAAGGGCACAATGGATCCTCACACTCTGTAACAGCCCCTGCACCATCCAATCTTGGAGGTTGAAAAACCCAGCAGAATAGAGGTTAGTACAGGACCTTAGACTGGGAAATGAGGTGATACTGCCAATTCATCCACTGGTATCTAATCCAAATACTCTCCTTTCACAGATTCCAGAAGATGCCACTGTTCTTACTATGTAGTTTAGGCTGGCCTTGAACTCACTTACATAGCTCAGGCTGGCTTCGAGCTCACAGTGATCCTCTTACTTCAGCCTCCCAAGTGCTGGAATTATAGGTACACACCACTATGCCTGGTTTCTCAATTTAGATTTAAAAGATGCTTCTTTTATATTCCTTTATGTGGGTCATAGATTACTTTTTTTTTGGTACCGGGGATTGAACTCACGACCTCACGCTTGCCAGGCAGGCTCTCGTGCTGCTGAGCTAAATCCCCAGGCCAAGTGCTCTACCAGCCCATATGACTGGTTGTGTTTAAGGGAATGGATGCAGGATCTCAATCTCAGTGGAGCGATGCTGGGACAGCACATCTTTGCTAAGATATGTCCAAAAAATGGTAAGCAGGAAGGCCAGGAATAGCAGAGGTGGCCCCTGAGAAAGTCAAACAATTAAGTTTTTATTTATCTGTATTTTACCCCTCCCATTTCCCCACTTGGGCTTTTTGTAAAGAAAAGACTCTAGGGGCTGGGGATTTAGCTCAGCGGCATAAGCGCCTGCCTTGAAAGCAGGCAGTAGTGAGTTCGATCCCAGGCACTAATAAAAAAAAAAGAAGAAAAAAAGAAAAGAAAAGACTCTAATAAAAAAAAGAGAAAACTGTAATTGAGGCTTCAGTCCTAGAGACTGTGGCCCCCATCCCAAACTTCATCTGTCTCGTTTTCTTTTTATCTGTTGTACCTCGTTTTTGAGACTTGTCTCCTCATCAAAACCAACACCTTAAAAAAAACAAACAAAAAAATTAAAAATTTAAAAAAAAAAACAAAACCGGGGCTGGGGATTTAGCTCAGTGGCATAAGCACCTGCCTTGTAAGCAGGCAGTCATGAGTTCGATCCCTGGTAATGATAAAAAGGAAAAGGATAAAAAAAAAACCAAACCACATTTACATACAAATTCCCAGTTTATTTTTGTCTTTAAAAATTCTCAGGACCAGGACTCTTAACTGCCATGGAGGCATCCTCAAGGATTCAGACACAGGCTTCATCTTTTAGACAAGTGCTTTCCCACAACTTGGCATGTTTTAAATTTTCCCACGTCCCAGTACTGCAATACTTGGATAATACAGTTATGTGCCCACTCAGAAGAGCTCTCTAGCCAGGGTGCCCATGCTCTGCTTGCTAGAATTATTTCCAAAAGATGAAAAATATTTCAAAAAGATGAGAAATATAAATTAAAAAGCGGCCTTTATTCTGAGAACACAGACAGAGATGACTGGCACCCCCCACCACTGGCGACCAGCGATCTCTCCGGCGGACATGTGGCATGGGGGTATGTAAATAGTCTCGGTTTGGGGTGGAACCTAAGGCGGGCATTAGGGATGTACAGGTAGCCCATTGGTCCTACGTTTCGTGCCATAGGTAAATTCCAGGGGCGGGAAGATGGTGTCAAAGGTAAATTACTAGGGGCGGGGGAGATAGGGGCTTCCTGCTTCCAGTTGAGGCTTTCCTGGCTACAGTGTCCTGTCTGGGCCAAAACCCTTTCATATCCTGTTTTATGATTACTATTATGACAAGGGGCAAAGATTTCTCTCTTTATCTAATTCCTGCTGGCAGAGGGCGCTGAACTGGAGCCTAGGGGAGTCGAAGGGATGAAGGTTGATGCCCAGGTGGACGCTGGTGCCAGGTGTTTTGGCCAGGACAACTTCACTGGTGAATGCACATATGTTACACTGGAAAAACAAAGAGACAAGATGTTATGAGGAGACATGGCACTGTCATATTTAAGGACCAGGTGAGGTAGAGGGAAAGGTGCTTTTGATTTAGACATGTTCCATGGCAAGGCAGAATTCTGAAAATTAAATGTGGGGTTAGGAGGAGTGAAGTTATGAGAGGTGATTACTCCCCCATCTGAAAGCATAAAAGTTAAAAGGTGGGTAGGTAAGGCTTGTCTCTGGTATGGAAAAGTATAAACAAAGTGAGAAGACAAAATGTATCTGTCAGTCTTGACCAGGGTTGCCTGAGAAATTGGTGAATAAGAAAGGAAGGGGGTAGTCTTATATCACTGCGGAGAGGTCCACCAGTGACAACATGTGGAAGCTGCTGAGGCCTCAGTGTGTCTAAATGAGCCTGCATAAACACAAGGGAGTGAAAGCATTTTAAGATTTAGGACTGGGACCTGCACGAAATAGGTCCTGTTTATAAATGGCATAGGTTGACCATCAATACCCCGTCATACAGATTGAGGACTTAATATAGCAGCCTGAATACTCAGGAAGAACTCTGTATATATGGCCTCTGTGTCCACAAATATAGAGAATGTCTTACCTGAGACTTTAGTGCAACTTGGAATCTGAGACGGACACCTTAAAGGGGGCTGTTGTTGCCCTGAACCCCCTCAGTCTTCAGCAGCATTTTGTCAGCGATGAATTGGGCAGTGTTGACATTTCCTGTGAGGGCTAGAAGTTAGGATGGCTTACCCACTCTCTGGTGGCTAGGACAGTCCAGCAGCCCTGGAGTAAGGTCTCAAAGAATGCCAGGCTGGGGCATTTTGTTGTCCAATATCTTCTGCTGCATTTGAGTGTGGTCCATGGGGAGGGGGCAGGCAGCTCCACCTTGTGTAGGTTCACCTGCCTCAGAACTCCAAGTGTCACAAGTGTTAAAAATATGAAAAACCATATTAAGATCTCTCTAAGGTTTGAAGGTCAAGTTTTGCCTTTTTATTTGGGATTTGGACTACAGTAAAAGGTATCTGTAGAATTAAATAAGTATACAGGAGTTTAATATTGGCATTTGAGGTCAGAGAGCAGGCTTTATCTGGATGTCATATCGCTTTTTATAGGGTGACAGAATTAACAAAAAAAGCTTTAGTCTGCCCAAAAAGGCTTTACTGGAAACATTTTGCAGAAAAGGTTTAGCAATCTTATGAATAAAGAAGGCTGGTAAAATTATCAGGTGGCCAACAATCTTGATTAAATGGTTTGAGAATTGTAATAAAAAAGTATCTTTTGAGCGGAGCCGAATTGTAAAAAAAAAGCACGCCTGAGTGGAGCTGCTGAGCTGCTGTTTTGAGGCACCCCAGCAGAGCACGCTCAGCATGGGGGTGGGGCGAGCGCCAGGATGTAGCATGCAGGGGCGGTCTGGGACTGCCCCCAGAAACTCGTAAGGTGGCAGCGATGACAATGGCGCACGGGGGAGGGAGGGGCTGGGAGGGCGCATGGGGGAGGGGCTGGGAGGCGGCCCGATACAGCGCAAGAAGCTGGAACTGCTCATGGGGCATGAGGATTAGAAAGCCAATTTAGGAACACAGCTGGGTTTTTATTAGCCTCCTGGACCTGTTTAAAAGTTTGTTATAGTTAGTATGCTTGTCCTGCTCTGGCACAGCTATAGGCCCAGGGTCATTATCAGTGGTGTTTACCTTATGTCTGTGATCAGTTTCTTTTCGAGCTGCCTGCCACAGCTGATTTCGCTCTTGTGAGCTGACAGTGGTATTTGGAATCCCATAAACATCCTAAAATGTAAATCATAACAATTAGTAATAAATTTAAATTGCCTGATATAATTCTGTGGGTCAACAGAGAGGCTACCTAATTTATGGGTAATCTGAGATAGATCAGAAAGGGAAAAAGGCACATGGATGTTAACAAGTCCCTTGGGGCCAGCTTGTTCCCAAAGTGGTAGCAGAACCTGAGGAGAAGATTCCAGAGCAGAGGGCCATTGGGCAGCCATCGGTCCGGTGGGCGTGTGTGACCAATCATCTGTAGAGCGGCTCCAGAGTCGCTGCCAATCACCCTGGGAAACACAGTCAGATGGCATCTCACTGTGTGCCTTGCAGTGAGAGGACTGCTGTCCACAGCACAGTGAAGCGTCATGTGCACTGCAACAGGGTGGCTGTTGCAGTTCACAAGAGGAGCCACAAGGGGGCGCCCGTTGACAGTGAGGGTCCTGGGAACATGGCAGCGCCCTATCACCATGTGACCCTCCTGAACATGGTGGCACCATGCCATGTGGCAGAGGGTTGCAACATGGTGACTGTTCCCTGGGCAAGCTGGAACAATCACACGGCCTGCTGGAAGGACATAGTGACCAAGACCTAGTATGGTGGGCGGGCAATGAGAGTGCTGTAGGGGATAGAGAATTCTCGGAGAAGAAGTCAGAGACTGTGAGGAAATGCTAACAAAGGGATCAGAGCCGCTGGGAGAGTTATGGGTCCCTGGAGACAGAGGGGAAGAGGATCGCACAGCAGGAGATAACTGCGACACAGAGGGATTAGAGCTACTGGGAGAGTTATGGGTCCTGGGAGACAGAAGGGAAGACGATCGGACAGCGGGAGGTAACTGGGACACAATGGGACCAGGACTGCTGAGAGAATCAGGCATAGGGGGAGGGGAGAGCGGTCCGGTGGGAGGTAATGGCAGGGAACCAGTTTGGGGGTAGGCAGGCGGCGGCCGGGAAAACACCAGAGGGCAGGATGGAAAAGTTTGTGGCACAGTAGAGTTAGCTAAAAGTATCTGAGCGGGAGCACAAGACTTAATGAGAGATGGCCGTGTTCTCAGAATAAGAAAGGCCTGAATATAAGGGAGTTCTAATAACTTGTTGCCGGCTTGACAGAAATCATACAAGTTCCTAAGAACGCAGGGGTCAACTGTTCCTTGTTTGGGCCAACACTTGCCGATAAGTGGGTAGGTTGGCCAGACCTTCTGGCAGTAAAAAGTTAATTGTTTAGTTTTTATGGCACTTTTAATTTTTAGAGTACGTAAATTGGAAATTAGGCATTGTAAAGGCGTCTTTTGGGAGTTAGAAAATATGTTCCCCGTGACCGATTCAGACAAGAAATAAGCCAGTGGTCCAGAACAAGCCATCACTCGTTTGTGGCACCACGCAGCAACTATGGTTCCAAAAACTCGTATATTCCAGTCATCACTGAGAGATTTACAAGTGGAGCCCACATGGGGTCAGTAACAGTTTTGCCCATGAAAGCACAAGGCTTTAAGGAAGTAAGGCGGTTCTTTCAGTGTGGGCCATCCAAAAATCTCTGCTTTGGGCTATCCGAACCTAAAGAACGTGAGAGATTTTATAGAGTGTGGACACAGGTTTGCCCAGAAAGAACCCTGCCCTGGGCTGTCCTAAGGACATGAAAATGCACAGACCCACGCGAACGGGGAGAACAGCTGACTGGGGCTGCCCAGTGCCAAGAGTTCCCCAGGCAGTGCTCACCTGAAATCAACCTGGCCGATGCTGAGTGCAGGCTGCTGGCAACAAGGACTTCTCAGGACAGGAAAAAGCTCAGAATTAATCCAGGATGTTATCTGGTTATCGGCTAGGCGACTCAACTGGGTGTGTCCCAGGAGTCAATCGCCTGCCAATCCGAGTCACAGCACCAAATGCTAGAATTATTTCCAAAAGATGAAAAATATTTCCAAAAGATGAGAAATATAAATCCTAGGTTTCGTGCCATAGGTAAATTCCAGGGGTGGAAAGATGGTGTCCAGGTAAATTCCTAGGGGCGGGGGAAATAGGGGCTTCCTGCTTCCAGTTGAGGCTTTCCTGGCTACAGTGTCCTGTCTGGGCCAAAACCCTTTCACTGCTGAATTTTGGAACAGATAGAGGTTATAAAGTCTCTAAGTCTAAGGCACAATTTTGAAGCCTTGAGGTAAAATACTTAGACCTTATCATATCTCAGGGAATCCAAAGGCTTGAGGAATAAGTCCAAGACTTTAAAACACCCAAGGGGATTCATAGGGATCAGGCCTTTAGTGCATATGGTGAGATCCTGTGACCCTCCTATTGTTACAGGCAACTGAGCTATTTAGAAAAATTATAGGCACTCAGGCAGGGCTAGGCCCTTGAAGAAGTTGGTACAGAGGACCAGATGTCTGATGACCTTGGAGGAGACACACACCTCTTGCTGTGGACCAGATCTCAGAACAGAAGGCAAAACAAAGGCAGCCACACCCTTAAGAATAATTCTTAGGGATTAAGTCTGGATCACCTAGAGAAGTCAGGAGTCATCATTCCAATCCCTAGAGAGGAGTCCCTGCTCCCTAAGAATGCCTGCTTTCTATGTGACTTGCTTCCTCATTTGTTCCCCATTTAATCAATTTTACCTGAGCTATTATTATTGGCTAAACATAGCTCTGTCCCACTTCATGCCCATCTGTCTTGGGAGTTCCCAGTTTTCCCCAGTTTTAGACCTGCCTCACTTCACAATTTTACTCTATAAAAATCTCAAGAAAATACAGAATCTTTGGCAACCCATTCGGGACCTCTTCTGTCTCTCTCTCAGACAGAAGCTTTCTTTCTCTCAATAAATATTTCCGCTCTTAACCTCTGTTCCTAGGATTGATTCTTCGATTTTAGAGAACACGAACTTGTTCTGGACATACAGTAGGTTGGGAGTTTCATTCCCCTATATCAGCTTATAAAGGAAGACCAAAAGGAGGACACCCATATTCTAACCTGGGAACCCAAATTGCATTTCAGAAGCTTAAAAAAATGATTCTAAATCCCCCAGTGCTGAGCCTACTGACAGGACAGTTTCAATTTACATGTTGATGAAATCTAGAGCATGACTTCAAGAGTGCTTCAAGAGGATTGAGGGACTGCTTGACAGCCCATAGCGTATCTGAGTCACAACAGCCTGTAGGGTATCGTAGCAAAGGGATGGCCTGCGTGCCTTAGAGCCGTGGCTGCAGGATCTCCCGGTACCAAAGGCACGCAAGCTGACTTTAAGCAAAGATCTCACTTTGTCTATGAGGCAGGACTTTGTTCCAAAGGGAACTATGGTATCACAACCAACTTCATTAACACTAGACTCCATTTCTAGAAAGACCAGCCATTCATTCAAATAAAATCAAGTTCCTCCTTAAATTCTGCCACCTTTCTATCAAAGAAAGAAGATTAAGGCAGCTAAAAGACGTGATTGCAAACAGGTGTTTCTCCACACATACTCAGAGCCGATGTGGTAGACGCCCTGCTTCTGGCTGATTTGAACCTTTCCTGGGTTGGTAGCTCCTTCCTGGGAGATGGGACAAGAAACATAGGGGATGCAGTAGGGGAGTCCTCCACATTGGACCCTCGAAAGTGCCTCACTTGCCCCTGGGATTGGTGCCCAGCTAGCAGAACTCATAGCTCTGACCAGGGCTTTACAATTCAATGAAGGACAAAAAGCCACTATTTATACTAACTCAAAGTATGCTCTGCAGGCTGGGATTTCACTTGTGTCACATAGCGAAATAGAAACAATGATAAAAGTTCATCTATCTCCTTATGGTACATAGCGAATTTTAACCATATTGAAGTGGTGATACCCACCAAGGAAGTCTTAATATACTCAAGGGGTGCAGGCTACATATTCAGCAAGATGGTTTTTTTGTTTGTTTGTCTTTTTCCTTTCTATCGGTACTGGGGATCGAACTCAACGACTGCCTGCAGGTCCCAGTCCTAAATCTTAAAATGCTTTCACTCCCTTGTGTTTATGCAGGCTCACTTAGACACACTGAGGCCTCAGCAGCTTCCACCTGTTGTCACTGGTGGACCTCTCCTCAGTGATATAAGACTACCCCCTTCCTTTCTTATTCACCAATTTGTCAGACAACCCTGGTCAAGACTGACAGATACATTTTGTCTTCTCACGTTGTTTATACTTTTTCAGGATACATAAAAGCCTTTCCCACAACCAGGTAAATTCTGATAAACCAGGTTACAGCAACCCATGCCTAAATCAAAGTTGCTAGACTGCCATCCTGGTTTCACATCACTCAGGCTAAGAGATGCCCTTCCAGCCCTAAATCTGATCATTCTGAGTGGTCATCTCATCTTCTGTCGCCCACCCGTCTCCGTTTCATGAAGGCCTCGCAGCCACAGTTAACAGGCTAAGTTATATTTTGTTATCTACTTTGGTTCCTAATTTCTTACATTCTATTAATGATCATTTTTACAGCAGGACTCTTTAACAGTATTGCCTACAGACTCCAATGTCACGCATACCAGAGACAAGCCTTACCGACCTACCTCTTAACTTTTATGCTTTCAGATGGGGGAGTATTCACCTCTCATAACATCATTCCTCCTAACCCCACATTTAATTTTCAGAATTCTGCCTTATCGTGGAAATGTTCTTACTGCAACGTCGTCCTGATAGAATGACATGTCTAAATCAAAGGCCTCTTCCCTTCTACCTCACCTGGGTCCTTAAATATGACAGTGCCGTATCTCCTCATAACATCTTGTCTTTTTGTTTTTCCAGTCTAACATATGTGCATTCACCAGTGAAGTTGTCCTGGCTAAAACACCTGGCACCAGCTTCTACCTGGGCATCAACCTTCATCTATTCGACTCCCATAGGCTCCAGTACAGTGCCCTCTGCCAGCAGGAAGTAGTTAAAGAGAGAAATCTTCACCCCTTTTCATAATAATAATCATAAGACGGGATAGGAAAGGGTTTTGGCCCAGACAGGACACTGTAGCCAGGAAAGCCTCAACCAGAAGCAGGAAACCCATATCTCCCCCGCCCCTAGGAATTTACCTTTGACACCATCTTCCCGCCCCTGGAATTTACCTATGGCACGAAACCTAGGACCAATGGGCTACCTGTGCATCTCTAATGCCCTCCTTAGTTTCCACCCCAAACTGAGGCTACTTACATACTCCCACACCACATGTCCGTTGGAGAGATCGCCGGACGCCAGCGGTGGGGGGTGCTGGTCATCTCTCTCCATGTTCTCAGAATAAAGGCCGCTCTTTGTTTTATACTTCTCATCTTTTGGAAGTAATTTTCATCCTTTGGAAATAATCCATTATCACCAAGGTCTCCCTGTGTTGCTAAACTGGCCTTGAATTTGTGGAGATCTTTCTGTCTCAGCCTCCTGAGTGCCCACACCCAGCTGATCTTATTATTTGTCCCATGCATACTTAACTATTTCTTTGCCCTTGTCTCTTGCAGACCTAAAGCTATATACCTCTCTAAAACAAAAATGCCTGGCACCTATTGAGAACATTTATTTACTTGTTTTAGATACTGAGAATCAAACTCAGGACCCCATGCTTGCCAGGCAGGAGTTGAACTGCTGAGCTAAATCCTTGGCTTTCTATTGAGAACATTCAGATAACCTTTTATGGAATATCTCTGACTGTTAATTATAACTACAGCTCCCTTCAGTCAAAATGTTCATCAAGAATCTGGGCGTGGTGGTGCATGCCTGTAATCCCTGCCCTTAAGAGCCTGAGACAGGCTGATCATTGTGAGCTCAAGACCAGCCTGGGCTATAAAGTGAGCTCAAGGCCAGTCTGAACTGCATAGTGAGACCTTATGTCAAAAAGACAAAAAAAAAAAAAAAAAAAGTGTTCATTGGCCCTCGCCCCCTCATGGCAGGCATACCTCTTAGGAGGGGAAATATTATAGACCGTTAAGTTAGGCAGAAATATTATAGGCAGTCAGACTGAGGTAGATGGGCCCTTGAGAGCATCAATACAGAGAATAAAAACACATTACAACCGTGGCTGGAGGTGCATCTGTTAGAGGACAAGCCTAAAACAAAATGACCAGCCTTATGTGCCTCTCCAAGAGATAAATAATAGAGTAACACTAACATCAGTTGCCCAGGTGGGTAGCTGGAACCCGATTCATTCCATCCTAGAAAGGTGATTTTTTTTTTAAATATCTTTCCTTTTTATTTGTACTGGGGATCAAACTCACGACTGCCTCCTTGCAAGGCGGGCACTTATGCCGCTGAGCTAAACCCCCAGCCTCAAGGTCGCTGTTCTTTCCACGTACACCTGCTACTTGAATCAACTTCTCACTGGACCTGTTCTACCTAAGCGGCGAAATTTGTAATCCTTATTGGTTGGGGCTGGGGATTTAGCTCAACGGCATAAGCGCCTGCCTTGCAAGCAGGCAGTCCTGAGTTCAATCCCTGGTACCGATAAAAATGAAAAAGACAAAAGTAAATAAATAAATCCTTATTGGTTGATTATAGTTGTGTTTCAAACCATACTCATTTCACCATTTTGCTCTATAAATCTTAACTCTGTAGGCCAGGGATTTAGCTCAGCGGCGCATAAACGCCTGCCTTGCAAGCATGCAGTCGTGCGATCCCAAAGGTATAAAAACAAAACAACTTACTCTGTAAAATGGGGTCCGTGTCAACCCATTTTTTAGGTCCTCTCCTGCCTCTCAGGAGGGACAGCTCTCCTCTCTCAATAAATATTTCCTACTTTTAACATTCGTTGCTCCCTAGAATACATACTTCGGTTTAGGGGAACTAAACTCCACATATCTGATATCCAGCAGGTTGAGTTATATTTATTTCCTCTGTATCAGCTGCACAGCAGCCTAAATTCTGCAAAAACATGAGCAAGTCCATTGCCTTTCAGGACCCCAGAGTATGGCAGTCCTTGACGCAAGGGATTTATGTGTTACATGGAGGACATCATTTAAATACTAAGGTCAGCTCTGGACCGACAAGGCCAGCGTGGAGGCCGGTCACTCTGATTTTGCCATCCCCAGGGTGCAGGGATAAATCACTTCTAGGCCGCTGACGATGCCACCGCCTCTGTGCTATGCTTCCAGAGCTACCTCTTTCCTGGTGGGGCGCCTCGATTGCATAGGACACGGTCCCGGGAGTCTGCCTCCTGTACCAGCTTTTGCGGCTCGCCCACTTCTCTGAGCCTCGCCAGGCATGGGACCACCAGTCTTGGCGGGAGGTTGAACCTCGGGTTATCGCAGCCAGAGAGCTATCACCTACAAGACTTGCTCCACCCAAACCCACGTGCAGCCCGCGAAAGCTTGAGGCCTTCCACTTCCGGCAACGGCGCAACACGGGAGTTGCAGTTTGTACGACAAGGAAGCGCCATGAGCGACGTGGTCGCATTGTATGTTGGGAGGTGTATCCCACCCCTCCACCCCCCGCCCCGTGGCATGCCAGCGAACTAGTCGCAGGAGGGACCTGACGTCCCCTTCAGGTCGATAGACCCGTCTCCCCGGAGATTTCGGGAGACACTAGCTCCATGCTTTACAAACAGCATCGGCTCTGAACTTTTGCTGGGCAATTTATCAATTGGGTACCAGATCATGGCTCCTCTTCTGTCGTCATTGGCTGACCGCTGCATTACGTCACTTGTAGGCGCCCTCGCGCAGCGCCGCACGCGCTCGGAGGCTTCTGGGTAACAGTTTACCCCCGCCCCCTGCGTCGGCCTCTTCCTTTCGCAGCCGGACGCCGCAGAGGTTGCACGCGTGAGGCCTGTCTGCTTCCATCTTCGAGTGAGTAGGCCCGCTGGGCCGGGGCGCGGCTCGAGGGGTGAGCGGGAGATCCTAGGGACCCCCTGGGGCGGGGGCGTGGAGACTGAGCCCCGTGTGACCTCGCTCTGGTGGTCTGGTGTGGGACGGAGGCCACAGTGAACACGCCGCCCCGCGCTCTCGGCCCCTCTTAGCATGCGCTACGTGGCCTCTTACTTGCTGGCCGTCCTCGGAGGCAACTCCTCCCCCAGCGCCAAGGACATCAAGAAGATCCTGGACAGCGTGGGCATCGAGGCAGAAGATGACCGGCTTAATAAGGTAGTTGCCGCCCTTAGTCCCTAACCCGCTGTGGGCGCGAATGTCTGGTGCCTGTGGCCCCTGCGCCTTGTGACCCTGAATTTACTTCCCGGGAGACTGAGGGAGGCCTGCGTCACCCTGGTAACTAGTGTGGTCCGATACATGTAGTGCAGTTCTGACGTGTAGCAAGTCGGGCGAGGTGGTGCGTGCCTGTAATCCTAGCATCCTGGAGGTCTGAGGCAGCAGGATCCCACATCGGATCCCAGTCCCGGCAACCTAGTAAGAGCCTGACCCAAAGTAATGGGTTAGCATGTAGCTCAACTAAAGTTCTGAAATAAATTCCTGGTTCTGCAAAATAAGAAAAAATTATGAAAGCAGTTTTATTCCCCATCTACTTTTTTGATAGTGCTGAGCACCTGACCCGGGCCTTATGTGTTGGGCAAATTTTAGCCCTAGATAATTTTAATAGTCGGTTTTTTGATCAACGTGGTTAACAAGTTTATACCTGTACTATAAGCAGTAAAAGACTGAGTATTCTCACTGCTGAGGTGGAATCTTAGCAACTAGTTTTAGCTCTTTTTTTTTTTTTTTTTGTTTGTCTTTTTCCTTTTCATTGTATCAGGCATTGAACTCACCACTGCCTGCTTGCAAGGCAGGTGCTTACGCCACTGAGCTAAATCCCCAGCCCCTAGTTTTAGCTCTTAATAACTCAAATCAAAGAATCCTGTGTACTTGATGTTTATTAGGTTGGCCCATACAGGTCAAGCACTCCCCTCTGGTGATTGATCGCCGGCTGTGGTTGTCTGTTTCAGGTCATTGGTGAGCTGAATGGGAAAAACATTGAAGACGTAATCGCCCAGGGTGAGTTTGTGTGGAAGCGTTTTTAGTTTTATGGTCCATTCTAATTCCTGCTGGTCAGGCTGTGGCCTGCCAGGTTTCGCTTGTGGACCACAGCACTCTGGAAGCTTGACTCAAAAGAATGAGCACAGGCCCTCATGGGCTTATGTTGGAGGCACTTCTGGACACTTTCAGGAATGGTCAGTCAGGGCTACCCTAAAACTCTTGACTACTTGCCAGCTGTAGTCTCTGGGACTGGCTGTCCCTATCCCCTTGTCCTTTTTGGAACTTTGGGGCATTTGTAAATAGTTCATTTGGAGCTTTCTGTGAGTGGGTTGGGAGTAGGGATGGGGGTGTCAGCGGTGACCAGAGGCTCCTGGACCCTTTTCTGGGCAGATAATTTGCTGGTGGCTTCAGATGAGCTGGTGGCACTTGTTTGAACACTGATCTCTTACTGTAGCATTTATGTCCTTGTGCATGTGATGGGAAAGTCATGCTCAGTGAACTGTGATCCATGAGCTCACTGCTGTGAACAGCATTCTGATCACTAGGGCAAGGGGACACTGCCCAGAGGTAAATGTGTTTGTCCTACTTAGCTTTGAGGTAAGGTGGCCATGGCTTCATTTCTGGAAGATAAGATCCTAGATTGAAACTGCTTAGTGGATCAGGTTAGGGGCATTTTCCTACCTCTGTGTGTGTGTGGGGGGGTGGTCTCACATCTTGGAAGAACAGGGGATACTGTCAAGGGGATTTGTTGAGCGTGCTGCTGTACCTGTTGAAACTAGCTTCCATGGGTCTGAACCCCTGACTGAGGACAGGGTTTTACTCACCCCTACACTGCTTTACAGGGATTGGCAAGCTTGCCAGTGTGCCGGCTGGAGGGGCTGTGGCTGTCTCTGCTGCCCCTGGTTCTGCAGCTCCTGCTGCTGGTTCTGCCCCAGCCGCAGGTTAGTGAAGGCTGGTGGGTGGGCAGGGGGCCAAGTCTCATAGTCTTCGGCTGACACAATGGGGTCTGGCTGAGCCTGAGGGCGGTGTTCACCATGCTGCTGTTCTCTCTACAGCAGAGGAGAAGAAAGAAGAGAAGAAGGAGGAGTCTGAGGAGTCTGATGATGACATGGGATTTGGCCTGTTTGATTAAATTCCTTTCCCTCTGCAAATAAAGCCTTTTTATGTATCATAAGCAGTCTGTGAGCACTTTGTGTCAGCTACACAACACTTGCAGCACTCATGCTTCTGTACAGACTGGGGCAGATGAAGCTGTGGTTGAGTAAGGAGGAGCAGGACCTGTGTGGGCCTAGAAAAGGTTCCTAGACCCAGAGCAAAGATTTGTGGCTTCTAGGGAATGTGAGGCCAACTTTTTGGGGAAATGTGGCTGGCAGGGGGGTTTGACCTGAGATGGGTTTGTTTGGGTGATATCCAGTTCTCAGGTGCTTCGTGCCCAGCGGTGGAGGTGGCTGCTCTAGGTTTCACAGGTGAAGGCTCTGACTGAGCATGCCTTGAGGGTCAGGTGTCCCCACAGATGGGCAATACTTCATCCTGCTTCCTCATCCTGCAGGTGTGGAGGTTGTCTGTGAGTAGAGGGCCAAGTACTTACTGTTACTAGCTCTTTCTAGGTTTGTTTAGTTTCTAAAATACCAAAAACCCAAAGTTAAAGGAAAGGAAAAAAGGTTTCTCTGTTTGTAGAGGTTTTAGTTCCCATTGGTTCCAAGGTAGGGAGGGTAGCACATGGTAGGGGGCAATAGTTCCCTATTGGAACTATTGGTGGTGGAAGATGGCAAAAGGAACGAGAGGAGGAGATAAGTTTCTTTCTGTCCCTTAAGTATTGTCTATAAGGATTAGGGCAGTACCAATTCAGTCAGTGTAGTGTCCCAGCAATCACTTAACCCTTAATTTCAGCATTGCACTATGAATTGAATTAGTTACTTTACATTTACTCTGAAAAAAACCCTATGACCACATGGGGTTTTGTTATGGTTTACATAAACTCTTGGGTTCTGGCGTGGGATGTGGGGCTAAGGACAGACAAGTTGTAGCCTTCCTGTTTCTTAAATTCCTCTCTAGCCTCTGGCACTGATGTATTCCAGGCCATCTGAGGGCACTGCAGTGGGCAGGGCCAGCCTTCCGAGAAGTGAATTCTGTACCTAAGTTGCGATGGAGCTGGGAGTAGTATGCAAGGAGTACACAGGCACAAGCTGGGGTCACAGAAGGTTCTGAGGTAGGGTGGAGTCTTGTTTTACTTTTTCAGTATGGTGCTAGGGATGAAACCCAAAGTCTTGCCTGTGCTGCACTAGTACTGCGGCAGAGATACACCCCAGCTCCGAGCTGTACTTCCAACATGCTCTGGTTGTCCTTAGAGCCAGGGTTTAGGGAAGGAGTGGAACCCAGAAGGCTTGGGGGGCTGGTGGGTGGCCCAGGAAAATATTAAGGACCTGGGACCAGGGATTTAGCTCAGTAGCGTAAGTGCCTGCCTGGCAAACTCAAGGTCATGAGTTTGGATCCCTGGTACAAAGAAAAAGAAAAATCAAGGAACTGGTAGGGCCTTAGCATCAGCTGCGCTGTTCTGCAGGAACTGGGGACATCAGGTTGGGAAGCCCTAGGTTTCCGGGGAGAGCTGAGTTCCAAGGTGGGCCCCAAAGGGAAGGCTGTACTATCCTAGGTGCCATGGGCATGAGGGAGGGGTTGCTGCCCAAGGACTTACCAGGGTGTCCCTGGAGGTTTAGCCTAACGAGGGTGGTGGGGTTTCCAGGAAGGCCCTGTCCTATTCTGCCTCTTGCCCTGCTGGCACCTCACCCTCCCAAGGGCCTGACATGTACCCAAAACAGCCCAGCCCTCTGTGGAAATGAGGACAGAGGTCTCTGTTCTGGGGCAATGCCACTGCTCCAAGCCTGCTCTTGGAGCCAGTTGTGGGAAATTCGAAGCTTCCCCCTCAGTGGTCACCCCAGTGAGCCTGAGGGTGTCTCCCCTGTGGCACACACTTGCAGCCTGGCTCCTGCATATGGGGCTGAGCCCTCATCCCACACCACCCTTCCTTCTGCAATGGGCTACCCTACTTGTGGAAAAATGGAAGGGTCTTTTAGATCCAGTGGGTCCCATCCTCCTGCTCTGCTCTTCTCTCTCAGGCCCCACCCCTGCCTGGCTAACGCTGATCATGTGTCCCTCAGAGCTCAGTTGTTATCCCTCTCTAGCGACACCCTTGACCCCGGGGTGCCAACCTGGCCGGCTCCTCGCACTCTCCGTTCTGTGCCCGCAGTGGGCTGGGGGAGGGCTCTGCTTCTTCCTGCACTCGGTCCCCTGGGTAGCAGGAAGAGAGGTCGAGGACAGAACAGGACGATCCCACAACATGCCCGCTGCCCTGGCGTCAGCAAGCCCGGAGCTGAGGTCCAGGGAAGGGGCTGCACTTCCCTCCCAATCCAGGCCCTGGGGTGGGGCCTGGCGCGATCGAGGCAGATTCTGATTCCAGCTACCCAGTCCGCCCGGTAATCCCAGAAAAATGCGGAAGGGGGTGGGAGGTGACATCACAGGGAGTGCCCGCCTTCTGGGGAATTAGCAGAGGCAGAACGGCCCGACTGTCAGACCCGGCAAACCCCGGCTGGAGGAACCGTTTCGGGCCTCCAGGCGCGCCCCGGTAAGCACAAAGGGGGCACGGACGATCAGGGGTCGGTCCGTGAAGGGTCGGTGGGCCCTGATACCCAGGCCTTCTTGGTTCAAATTCTCAGGGTCCGGAGGTGGCTTTCGCGCATCCCTGCCCGGGGGAAGCTCCTTGGTGTTTGGTGGGTGTCGGTGGCAGATACCAAGGCCAGCCACGCTTGGTACTAAGACACTACAAAGCCCCGCAGGCTGGGGAGGCCCGGAGCTCCGCCAGCCCGCAGGTGGCAGCGCCAGGCAGGTGTTCGCCGGGTCGAAGGGCGGGGCCTGTGGGCGCGGCCGTGCTGTGAGCTCTCTGGTTGGTTCAGGCGCTCAGACTCCGCCCCCTCCCTAGGCTCCGCCCCTCCCTCCCTAAAAGACCGCCTAGCCGCCAGGCCAGGCTGCGTCTCCGCCTCCGCCGGCGGGGACCAAACCCCTTCGGCCGTCGCGCAGCCGCCCACGGGGCCCGGAGCCGCGATGTTCCCCCGGGAGTCGAAGTGGAACATCTCGTTCGCAGGCTGCGGGTTCCTCGGCGTCTACCACATCGGCGTGGCCTCCTGTCTCCGCGAGCACACGCCCTTCCTGGTGGCCAACGCCACGCACATCTATGGCGCCTCAGCCGGCGCCCTCACGGCCACGGCGCTCGTCACCGGGGCCTGCCTGGGTGAGGGGCTGGTCCTGGTCTGAGCAGGGAGGGGCAGGTGCCAGGGCCCTGGTTGAAGGAGAAATTGGCCGGGGGCGGGACCGGCGCTGAGGATGGACTTTTGTCTTTCCCTCAGCCTGGACCGCGTTTGCTGAAGCCTGGGACGTGGAGTGCTAGGTGCCTTGGACAGGGTCCCTAAGCGAGGGTGGCCTGCATGAGTGCTGGGTCCTGTAGCCTGATTCCTCCCAGGGCCCTAGAAGAAGAGCCCAGCCAGAGTTGGGGCTGAAAGTGGGCAGCAGCCCACTGCCCTCTACCGGCTCAGTGTCAGACTGGTTTCTCAGCTGTGGCCAGCCCTTCTCCCCACCTCACATGGACAGACGGAAGTGCTAGGGTCCAAATGCATTGAGCTGGGCCTCTGTCACACACATAGGTGCCTGCCTCCTGTGTGGTGTTTACAGCACAGGACGTCCTCCGGAGTCCTGGAAACTGCTGCCCAGCCCCCAGCACACGAGGTCAGCCAAGGTGACTGGGTGCCCTGCCCAGTGGGAGTCTGTCCAGAGTTCTCCGCTGTGTCCTGTAACCTCTGCCCTCAAGGTGGGGGAGACAGAGGCACAGTAGTTCTCAGGGCCTGGGGTTCACTTTCATCCCGTTTCCCCCAACCCCCAATGGAGGTTTCAGAGTGGTAAGCACAGTCTGCCCCCTGGCCTTAGGACACTCCATGGGACTGGGCCATTCTGGCAGAGCCACCACCCCTCCCAGCAAGCTGCCTCCCTGCAGGCTTGGGCCTCCAGAACTCCCGTGGTGTGGCAGGTGCCCCTTCTGCCCAAGAGGAGCTCTGGAAGACATGGCCCTCAGCTTTTCCTTCAAGACCCTCCTCTCCTGGCCACTCTGGTATTAATTGGTCAACACTCCCTGAGAGAGTGCTGGAGTGCCTGCCCTTGGTTGGAGAGGGCTACAGTTTTGTCTTCCCACTAGGTCCATCCACTCCTTTCAGCCTGCTGCCCTTGGGCCTGTGGCCCCGTGCTGGCTGGTCCTTGTGTGCCTGGCCCCCTGTTAGATTTGGCCAAGTGGGTAAAGCCTGATCAGAGTTGAGCCTCTGCCTTCTCCCCTCTCCTGGGCTGTGTGCCATGGCCGGCTCAGTGACTCATAGGGACAGGCAGCTGGAAAATACCAGGCAGAGGGCAGGTCTTAGTCCTAGCTGGTCAGCCCTTATTGTCTGCCATCCTCATGGTGGTGGCCTGCCTCACTGTACCTGCAGACAGATACCGAAAGTCCCAGCTGTGAGCCTGGCCCTGTGGTGGGCAGTCTTCAGGGTCAGTGGATATGCCACAGATGTTTGCACCATGGAACCCTGGGTACAGAGCTATGGTGTGAAGGTGCTAAGTCCAGCACTGCTGTCCCCTGACTTGGGCCTACTGCACTAGGTGAGGCAGGTGCCAACATCATTGAGGTGTCCAAGGAGGCCCGGAAGCGGTTCCTAGGCCCCCTGCACCCTTCCTTCAACATGGTGAAGACCATCCGGAGCTGCCTGCAGAAGACACTGCCTGATGACTGCTATGAGCGTGCCAGTGGGCGGCTGGGCATCTCCCTGACCCGGGTGTCGGATGGTGAGAATGTCATCATCTCCCACTTCAACTCCAAGGACGAGCTCATCCAGGTGGGCCTGGTGGGCCACGCTGGGGGACAGGATGACCCCTAAGCCCTGCTTATCTGTCCCTCTGTCCTGCCCTGTAGGCCAATGTCTGCAGCACCTTCATCCCTGTATACTGTGGGCTTATCCCTCCCTCCCTCCAAGGGGTGGTGAGTATCCCTGCCCCACCCCCTCCCAGCACCTTCTGGGAGTGGGGGAGTCAGCTGCTATGTGGGGTGGAGGGGCCTGCGCCTTGCCCTGCCCCCACTGCCATTGCTTCAAGCACTTCCTGTTACTCAAGGGGCAGACAGGCAGGCAGATAGCCCAGGGGGGAGATGTGCAGTTCCTGTGGTTGTCCCCTCAGATGTTTGGCCATCTGCTCAGTGCCCAAGCCAGCCAGTGGCCAGTGCCCAGTAAGTGAAAGGTCCAGATGGAACAGCCACCAGTTGGGGGAGCCAGCATGCCCTCACCATGTGACCACCTCTTTGTGTCCTTGTGTCTCCACAAAGCGCTATGTGGACGGAGGCATTTCAGACAACGTGCCTCTGTATGAGCTCAAGAACACCATCACTGTGTCCCCGTTCTCTGGAGAGAGTGACATCTGTCCCCAGGACAGCTCCACCAACATCCATGAACTTCGGGTCACCAACACCAGCATCCAGTTCAACTTGCGAAACCTCTACCGCCTCTCCAAGGCCCTCTTCCCGCCAGAGCCCACGGTATGGGGCTGGTACCTCGTCACCCTGTCCCGGCAGAGCACAGGGGAGAAAGGAGCCAAGGATGGGCAGGGGTCCTGTGGCTTCTTTAGAGCACTGGGCAGAGCTGTGGCCTGCACACTCTCCAGGCAGCATAACTGGTCTTGCCCACCTCATATCTTGTGCTGGGTCCAGGACAGCTTGGTGGCGTGACGGTCATAGGTTGGTAGCAGAGACAGAGCAAGCCATAGCTGGGTTCCTCTGCCGCAGGTACTTAGGGAGATGTGCAAGCAGGGCTACAGAGACAGCCTGCGCTTCCTGAGGCGGAATGGTACGTGTTGGGCCAGGGGGCGGCTGATCAGTGTGCCTCATGGGCCAGCTGGCAGTGATCACTGGGAGCCCCTCACTTGTCTGTCACCGAACCTCTACCCAGGCCTCCTGAACCGGCCCAACCCCCTCCTGGTGCTGCCCCCGATCGAAGGCCCCAAGGAGGAAGACACAGAAGAGGCCAGCGGGGGTGTGGGGAGGAGTGGTGCTGAGGAGCTGCAGCTTCCTCCCATTGAGGACCACATCCTGGAGCACCTGCCTACGAGGCTCAACGAGGGTGTGTGTGTGGGGGGGGGGACAGGACAGAACTGGGGGCACTGGGGGACCCTGGGCCAGCCCCACTTTCTGACAGGTTCCAATCTCCTGCCTGCAGCCCTGCTGGAGGCCTGTGTGGAGCCCAGGGACTTGATGACCACATTGTCCAATATGCTGCCAGTGCGGCTGGCCACAGCCATGATGGTGCCTTACACCCTGCCACTGGAGAGTGCTGTGTCCTTCACCATCCGGTGCGAGGCAGAAGGGGGTAGGGGAGGAGGCACTGAGTATGGAGGGCTGGGGTCGTTGTGGATGGTCCCCCGGGACCTGGTCCCAGTGCTGATCTGCGCCCATCCCTAGCCTGCTGGAGTGGCTGCCTGATGTGCCTGAGGACATCCAGTGGATGAAGGAACAGACAGGCAGCATCTGCCAGTACTTGGTGATGCGTGCCAAGAGGAAACTGGGCCGTCACCTACCCTCCAGGTGAGCTGCCCAGCTGTCTCTGCCCAGGCCCAGAGCCTCAGAAGCCCCACTGAAGCCCCTACCCCTCCCTCCTGCAGGCTGTCTGAGCCTGAAGAGCTGCGCCGCACTCGGTCACTCCCCTCCGTGCCGCTGTCCTGTGCCAGCTACCGGGAGGCTCTGCCCAGCTGGGTGCGCAGCAACCTTTTGTTGGGTGACGCACTGGCCAAGTGGGAGGAGTGCCAACGCCAGCTGCTGCTGGGTCTTTTCTGCACCAACGTGGCCTTCCCACCAGATGCCCTGCGCATGCGAACACCCGTAGATCACCCCACACCTGTGGACCCCATGGCCATGGACCCCACCCCTGCCCAGCACCCTCCAGGTCTGCCCCCACGCTGAGTGCCCTGTGCCTGCCAGGCTGGGCCCCACAGCCTCCTGTGCAGGAACTGCTGGCTGGATCCCACCCCAGCCTCCCTGGTGACCCAGTGTGGAGTGAGGACTGAGACCTTTCATGCTACATAGAGGGCGCTCTAGTGTGTACCCCAACCCCTTGCTTGCTGCCCCTGCCTGAGTAGGGAGCTCCAGTCATTCGTACCTTAGACCCCTCCCCTGCCAGCCCCTCCCTGCACAGACTCCTCTTGAGAACCTTGCACCTGCACTGCCCTTCTGTGTTTCTTGTTTTGCTGAATAATATGTGTGAAGAATTATTTATTTTTGCCAAAGTGTATGTAATAAAATGCCACAGCTCAACTTTTGTCTCTTTTACTTTTTTTTTTGGCAGTACTAGGGACTGAACCCAGGACCTTTGGGCTACGTCCCTGTCCCTAGCCTTTCTTTTTCTTTTACTTTCTTTCTTTTTTGGTACCAGGAATCAAACTCATGAGCTGGCACTTGCCAGGCAGGCACTTATCCCACTGAGTTAAATCCCAGGCTCCCCCCACCTTTTTTTTTCTGTTCTTTTTTTTGAGTCAGGATCTTGCTAAGTCCCTGTAGCGCCTAGGTTTGAACTTGTGATTCTCCTGTGTCAGCCTCCTGATGTGCTGGGATGGCAGATTGTGGGCACCACTGTGCTCAGCTCGCCTTCCTCATGTCAGTGTGATGGTCTGCTGTGCCTGGGGACATGCCGTTCAGAGACTGTCCCTACCAGCTGGTATCAGCAGGCGCCTGTCAGGTCTGCCACGGTTGCACTGCTGGGCCTGGCATCCCTGCCAGCTGGGCTGGGGTCTTCCCCTGTGCTCTCTACTCCCCAAGGACTCATCTGTTTGCCCCTACTTTGCCCTGAGGCTGCCTGGCTGACTCTTGGGGCCAACTTTCCAAGGGCTAATAGAGATATTTGGGAAAAAGAACTAGTGTTTACAAAAGGTGTTGCCACACCACCTCACCACACAGTGACACAGAGGGCGTGGGCTCACTTTAGGGCTGGACACTGGTGGGGCCTCCTGGAGCTGAGGGCTGGGGAGACCTGGGAGTGTCTACACAGTGCCACCGTGGCCATTGCACAGAGTTCTATGCCTGCTCTTTTCCCCCGATGTCCCAGACTCCAATGGGCAGGACTGCCACAGGCCTTCCTGTCCCCAGGTGCTGGCTATGTCTGCTACGAGTACCTAGGAGCGCTGAGGGGGGCTTCAGGCCCGGGAGAGGGTACTAGCCAAGGGGAGCACACCTGTCCCAGGAGAGTTTCCTGGTCTCCACTGCCAGGAGGAGGCAGTCAGAGTGGTAAGGATCTGTGGGTGATGGGTGCTGGCACCCGGCCATAGGCTTAGCCTGAGCCTGCCCCTTCAGGAAGGTGTGAGGTGCTGTGGTGGCAGCCCCCAGCCAACAATAACGGTTGTGGGAGCTGGGACAGAGGTACTGGACAAGCCGGCCAGGCAGGTCCCTGCCCTGGTGTGTTTCCTGCCTCCAGGTCCTGTCCTCTAGGCCCAGTCTGTTGTGATTCTGTCTGAGAAGCACAGGCAGCACAGCTCCCTGGGCTGGGGCAGACTGGAAGCGCAGCCAGGGTCCAGGTGGGTTTGGGTGCAGGCTGGGTGGGAGCCGGACCCAGGAAGGGGGTGGGGTTTACATCATAGTGGGAGGGCACCTAGCTGGGATCATGAAAGGATTTCTGGGGGCCCCCATGGTGACTTCCCCAGGCTCACTCACTCCCATCACATGGGGGCTTTGTGCTGCTAATTTAAAGGCCACTTCCTAGTATAAGATTTTATTGTTTAGAAAGTGGAAAAAACAAAGTTGGGAGTGCAGAGAAGAAAATCTCCCAGCTCTAGACAGTCACTGAAGGCATCCAGTCTATTTCTATTTCTTTTTGTTTTTGTCTTTTTCGTTTTTATCGGTTCCAGGGATCGAATTCACAACTGCCTGCTTTCAAGGCAGGCGCTTATGCTACTGAGCTAAATCCCCAGTCCCCCCCCCCCCCTTTTGTCTCTCTGGTCTATTTCTTGACAAATTTTTACCATATGCTTTTTGGTGACTGTAGCCTGGAGAATGGGGAGGTGGCAGTGGCTGGTATCTCCAGCCAGCAGCCACCATTCTATGCCATAGGGTTCCTGGTCTCCAGGAGGTGGGGTTCATTGCTGTCCCTGTGGCTCTGCTGGGACAGACACTCTGGCTGCCTGAGAGGCGGGAACAGCAGGTAGCTCCGCCTGCAGCCCACCAGGGTCTGTGAAGTGGGTGGGAGGGCTGCACGGGTGTAGCGGGGTGTGGCATGCTTGCTTCCGGGAGGAGCAGCGCAGGTGCAGTGGCGCAGCCGACAGGTAGGCACTGTGCCCTGGTCCTTGCTGGGTGATTGAGCTTTGTAGCCCAGGACACAGGCAGCCGAGGTGCAAGGCGTCCACTGCTGGCCCTCCTCCCCTTCCCGGGTTTGGCCACTGGGCGGCTTCCGACCCGGGTCCAGGGAGCCTGAGCTGTCAGCTTGGCTCCCGCCTGCCGCTGCTGGGACCTGCTCTCTTTCTGGAGATTGCCCCCTCCTGACTAGTAGGTGGGATGGGTGTGGCTGGATGGGTTGGAAGTTAGATAGCAGGTGCCTCTGGCTTAGGAGGACCTGAGATAAAACCCAAAGGGCAAGTCAAAGGAGGGGGTGTTAAGTCCAGAATCTAGGGCCGCTGATAAGGGCTGCTGGAGGCACCAAACACCTGCCCGAAGGCTGGGATCTTGCACCTGCCCTGTGGGGCCTGGGAGCCAGGTGGGAGGAGTTCACCTCGCCTGCCAGCTGTCAGGATGCCAGGGCATCGAAGGCTTGGCCAAGGGAAAGACTGATCCGGACAGGCCCAGTCCTGGTCAGGCCCAACTTGAGACCCCAATACCAGGGTATGGTAGGGTCTCTTCCACACCCAAGCTCTCCTCTTGCTGCCAGGCACCCATTTCTGCCCCCTCACAAGCGCTCTTACAACTAGCCTTGAAGATCGACATCCCCAGTCCTTGTTCTGGCCTGCAGCTATGTTCCTGCCCACTGGTCCCTAAGTCTGTGCCACCTGACCAGGCCTAGGGTCCCCCAAGCCTGCAGCAGTCCCACCGGCACCTGTCTTCTTCTGGGTTGGAGCAGGAGACCCTGAGCAGCAATTGCACCCCACTTTCACTTTTTCTACCCTCCCTTAGCTCTGTAGCCCCCATGGCCAGCCCTGGGAAGCCTGGGGCTGTGGAGGCCCAGGAAAAGGAGGAGAAGGAAGAGGAGGAAGGTGGCTCTGCAGGACACAGCCTGGGTCCAACGGTGCTGCAGCAAGCCCAGGAGCTCTTCCTGCTGTGCGACAAAGAAGACAAGGGCTTCATCACCCGGCAGGACCTACAGGTGAGCCCCGGTCTGCAGAGCCAGTTGACAAGGCTAACCTGGGTGCTTACCCTGCTCTCCACCTGGCCAGAGCCTGCAGAGCGATCTGCGCTTGACAACGGAGCAGCTGGAGGCCGTATTTGAGAGCTTGGACCAGGCCCGAACCGGCTTCCTCACCGCCCATGAGTTCTGTCTGGGCCTGGGTGAGCTGGGCCTCCTCTCCCCAGGCTTCCTGTGCACCTCGCACAGAGGACTCTTGCTGCCCCATGTGCAACCCTGCCAAGACCCCAGTGGGGCCAGAACCCAGCTGTCACAACCTATTCCCAGGGCAACAGGACTAGAAGAAAGAACAAAAACAGGAAACCCGGCCTGGGAGAGGGCAGGATATGTGGGGGGAAGTGGAAGGAAGGCCAGTTTGGCAAAGCTGTTCCTAATCTCTCCTGTACTCGCAGGGAGGTTTGTGGGGCTGCAACTGGCAGAGGCTGTGAGCCCTTCATGGACTCCAGAGGACACCTTCGAGTCATCGGAAGCCCAGGGATTCCGGGGCTCCCTGGGGGAAGAAGGGGAAGATGAAGAGGACATGGAACGGTTCTGCGCTGCGCTGGAGCAGCTGGGGGTGGCCCGGGTCCTGGGCGAGTGAGTGGCACAGCAGCCGCCGGCTTGCTTCTGTGTGTGGGTCTGCATGTAGCACCAGGGGCCACCCGCAGGGAGTGGCCTGGAGTGATTTCCTGCAGAATTTGCATTTCGGGCGGCTGCGGCCCTGGGCAGAGCGGCACGGGCACGGGTGGCACACAGGCCCGGGAGGTAACATTGCATGGTGCAGCGAGCCGGGCTGTCCCGGGCCGCGAGTCTCATGCCGTTGACCCCTGCAGGCAGCACGCAGTCAGGGCGCTCTGGGTCCGACTGCAGCTCGAACGACCTGAGCTGCTGGGCTCCTACGAGGATGTCCTGCTGCGCGCGTCCGCCTGTTTAGAGGCGGCGACCCGGGAGCGCGACGGCTTGGAGCAGGCGCTGCGGCGGTGAGCACCGCAGGGTCAGCGGCGGCAGAGGGTGCTCGCGGTGGGGGGTGCTCACGCCTGTCTCCCGGTCCCCAAGGAGGAAGAGCGAGCACGAGAGGGAGGTACGCGGCCTCTACGAAGAGCTGGAGCAGAAGTTGCAGGAAACTCGGCCGCGCAGGCAGAGCCAGGTGGGTCCCCCTGCATTGGCCCCGCCGGAGTCCTGCCCTTTCTGAGCCCCTCACTCTGCCTTTGCGGTCTCCTCAGTGGGGCGCCGAGGCTGAAGCGCCTCGTGCACCCCAGAACCCGCCCCGCGAGGAGCGGAGGGGCCGCCTAGAGCTGGAGCTGCAGAGCTGCGAGCAGGAGTTGGAGCGCGCGGGGCTGCGGCAGCGGGAGGTGAGCGCGACTTGTCGCCCCACTTCCCGGGCCTCGCGTCGTTGTAGCCGAGCCGCGGGGCTGGCGCGGCATTCGGCCCTCTCACCAGAACGCTTGCTATTTTCAGTTGGAGCAGCAGCTGCAGGCCCGGACCGCAGAACAGCAGGAGGCAGAAGCCCAGCACGCGCAGCTGCGGAGCGCATTCGAGGCGCTGCGCGCGCAGCTGGAGGGGGCACAGGAGCGGCTCAGTCGGTTGGAGGGCGAGGCGCAGGGACGCCACAAGCAGATGCAAAGGTGCGCGGGAGGCTGGGCCGCTCCCCTCCCGGCCCAGCCCTGCGCCCTGGTCTTCTGCACTCATCCCATCCCCATCCACAGGGACGTGATCGCAGTCTCCAGGAACATGCAGAAGGAGAAGCTTAGCCTCTTGCGTCAGCTGGAGCTGCTCAGGTGCGCTCAGACCCGGCCCGCTGGGACTCCCAGATGCTTCGACCTCTGCTCCATTCCGCTGAGAGGAAGGCCTTCCTGTGTCTGCCCCTTTCGGGCTTGAGGGAGTGGGGCCCACCTACTCCCAACCTTGCTTGTTCCCTCGGAGCTCAGCTGCGCCCCTTCCTCAGGGAGCTGAACACACGACTGCGGGACGAAAGGGACGCCTGTGAGGCTAGGCTGCTGGGCAGCAACCACAGGAAGCCCCTGGACACCGCAGGCCTGCTCAGACCCTCCTGCTGCTGCTGGGCTCGGCCGCCCAGACGCGGTTCCGGCCACCTACCCAGTGCCCGGTAACCACCCCGCCTGGACTCCCACAGGAGCTGCCCCTCGAAGTCCACTTGTCCTGGGTGCAGGCTGCCCCTGAGCATCCCACCAGCTCTAAGCCGTGGACCTCGCGCGCCCCTGCTGTTCTGCACTCTGTCCAGAAAAAAGAAAAAAGTGCACGGCTCAATAAAGTGCGCACTATCGTAGTTCTTTAGTCTTATATGAATCTAGGCTTTGTGTGGTGCGCTGGGCTATGGTCCCCGTACGAGTTCTCTGGATACCTGGGCGTGCCCCACGCTCTCACCATCCCTCAAAGCAGAAGTCCTGCGGGTTGGGTCCAGCATTAGTTCCGATTCACCAGGGAGTACTGGGCAGTGACTGTCAGTCAACTAAGGGGTCCGCTCCAGACACAAGCAAGGCCTGACCTTTACCCTCGCCCCTAACCCCATACCTAGGCTTTACCGCCTCCGGACTAGGGATGACCGCGGAGACCACACTTTTCGCGGGCGTCCTCCGCCCAAAACCCAAAGCATTGCACAGGCCCGCGGCGCAATAAACCGCCCCCGCCCCGCACATGTCGGCCAATCCCTGCAGACTCCCAGAGGTTCCTGGGGTTGGCCTCTGGCTGCCCTCCTCCGGCACTGTCTCCTCTGTCTCTCCGTGAGCGCTCGCTGGGTGGTGGGCGCCACCAAGCTGCAGTTTCCAAGCCTGCAGAATCTCGCGCCGTGCCGCCGGCTCCTGCCTGAGCCGGCGCTGGTCCAGGCCAGCCCGCGCTGCCGGGCTAGAGGCTGGGCCTTCCAGGGGCTAGGCGTAGACGAGGCGTGTCTTACCGCAGGGGGCGGGACAGGACCTTCTAGGGGCGGGGCGTAGGCCGAGCGAGTCCTATGGCGGAGAGGGGGCGGGGCATAGAGGAGGCGAGTCCTATCACGGGCGGGGCCGGACCTTTGGGGGGCGGAGCATGGGCGAGGCGTGTCCTCTCAGGCCCCAGTAGCGCGTTCGCAGGGTTTAGAATCGCCGTCTTCGTAAAGCTCCCCGGGAGTGTGCGGCGTGGTCGGTGAGTGGCCGCGGGTGGGTCTCGGTGCCCCCGAGGCCTTGCGCACTCAAGTTCCGAGGCCGTCCGCTAAGCGATCGCGGGACCGAGCAGCGGTCGCTTCCGGCAGAGCGGTCCGCATAGCACTCGCTGGCCCTTCCGGACGGGAATGGGGGCGGGCGGCTGGGCGGGTACGGCGTGTGGTGGCCTCCCGGGCCCTGGACAGGCTTGCGGCACCCTCTGTGCAGGAATCTGGTAACCGCATTGTTCGCAGGCGCCGGTGCCCTCCCCCCACAGGCCCGCCCACCGCGCAGTGCCAGGGGGCGGGACGGTGACCGCGTCTGGAGGGGTGGGGGTGCGGTGACCTCATCGCGGTGACTCGGGGCTTCTAGCAGAGGTCCAGGGGCCTGGGATGGACAGCCGTGTTCAGGCAGTCAGGGCTATTTTTATCCGGGCCCTCCTCCCACGCCCATCCTTTCGCTGGGGACTCAAGTGCACCAGGCAGCGCTGAGAAGAGGGCCGATATTTTGGTGTTCTTCCGGAGTGCAGGGCTTATTCAGGGATCCAACGCCCCAATAGGCCTGGGCTTTGGTACCTGGTTGGGACGCCCACAGTAGCAGGGGTCTGCTAGTATTTTATGTTTGTTTTTTGAAGCAGTATCTTGTTTTGTAGTCCATGCTGACCTCGAGCTGGCCAATGAACTTCCTGCCTTTGTCTCCCCAAGTATGGGATTATAGATGTGGGCCACTATGCCCAGTGGCAAGGGTGTGTTTGTGCCCCCTTCAATAATGGACCTTGTATTTGCGGCTAGTTGAGGGTTGGAGGTCTCCCTGGCAACCAGCTCGGGAGTGAAGGTCTGGGCTTTCCTCAACTCTGAAGGTGGGGTTAGTCTGCCTTCGAAGCCCAGGGGTGAAGAAGGTGTCTTCCTATTCCCCACCCGCGGTGGAAGTCATTGCTTTTCCCCCTGGGCAGCAGCTGTTGCAATTTGGTGGGGGAGGGGTGGGGCAGTGGGAGTGGCCTAACTCCCTCCCTGGCTGGGACTGTCCAGAACTGCCTCCTCCTGCCCCACCCTAGCCCCGACCAAAATACCGTGTCTGGCTGGTCCTCTCTGCCTCTAGCTCTAGTGTGGACCCTGGATGCAGTTCGGTCCAGTCAAGGAGGGGTGGCAGCCCCTGGCAAGGCCAGCCTTGTGACCTGTGATCTGTGACCTGTCCTGGCTTCTGTAGCCTAGGATCCTGGAGAACTTCCACCCACCTGCCCTGAGTCCCGGCTGGGTGTGTCGGGGCCAAGTCAGGTGAAAGTCTAGAAAAGCAGCCTGGGGCTCCCCTCTGCTGTCTCCCTGCACCCAGCCCTGCCAGCGCAGCAGCAGCAGCAGCAGCAGCAGCTGGCGAACCCAGGGGCTCTGGGATGGGGACAGCCTCTTCCCAGCTGGGGGGGAAAGACAGTGGGTCTGCAGGCTGAGTTGCACCTGCAGAGTTTCCTCCTCTGCAGATGTCTGAGTGGCAGCTTCCTGCCAACCTGGGACCTGGGACCCAGGGAATGCTCAGATCTGATGGGGTCTGATGGGCTCACCCCAGGCATCTGCCCTGATCCCTAACCCCATGGGCACCAGGGGATCTGTTGAGCTGCTGCCCAGGAAGTGACTCAGTTCCCGGGGAGGTTCCTCCCAGGCCTTTCCTGGGGTGGGTAGGGCTATGCATCTGTGTCCCTTTCTATCCCTCTGGCATCTGACCACCCTACCAGACAGGGTCCTGGTGTTACAGGCTGTCTGACCCCCTTCCCACACCCTAGACCAGGATGGGTGAGTTCAACGAGAAGACAACCTGTGGCACAGTCTGCCTCAAGTACTTGCTGTTCATCTTCAACTGCTGCTTCTGGGTGAGGAGGGGTACAGCCTGCACTCCCCCAGGCATGGCAGGGAGCCAGACCAGCTGTGGTGACAGTGTGTGCTGCCCACAGCTGGCTGGCCTGGCTGTCATGGCAGTGGGCATCTGGACGCTGGCCCTCAAGAGTGACTACATCAGCCTGCTGGCCTCAAGCACCTACCTGGCCACTGCCTATATCTTGGTGGTGGCTGGTGCTGTTGTCATGGTAACTGGGGTCCTGGGCTGTTGTGCCACCTTCAAGGAGCGGCGGAACTTGCTGCGCTTGGTCAGTGGGGCACAGTGGCATCCAGGTGGGGGTGGCAGGGACAGAGCCTGAGGTGGGGGTGCTTCACTGGCCACATGGGACTCACAGGGGCTGAGTTTGTCGCTGTGGGCTGGCCTTGCTGTGCTGGGGTGGAGGCATGGTCCTTCTGCCTGCCCAGGCCTCAGGGAGGGCACCAGCTTTGTGAGGAGCATTAGGAGCCAGGCAGGTCCCACCTGTGGCATGAAGCCCTCACACTGGAGCCCCGGGGCTGGGGCTTCCCTTCAGCACCCATTGCTGGGAGCCCCTCTCACCCGATTCCTGCCCACCAGTACTTCATCCTGCTCCTCATCATCTTCCTGCTGGAGGTCATTGCAGGCGTCCTGGCCTATGTCTACTATCAGCAGGTGAGGACTGCACAGACCACTGGAGACATGACCTGCCCAGGAGTCCCCCATCCCTCCAGAGTTGACCATTGTGCTGCCAGATCCTGGAGGTGGGGTCTGGGTCTTACAGGTCATGAGGAGGGGAGCATGGGTGAATGACCTGTCGGCAGTGTTTGAGTTGCCTGCCCTTGGGGCTCATGGGTGGGCAGGCATGGGGGCACTGTCTGACTCCAGCCTGTCCCTCTCCCTCTGTACCTCCTGGAGCCTCTCCAGCACTACCTGCTCACAGACTGATCCTTTTCCCACTAGCTGAACACAGAGCTTAAGGAGAACCTAAAGGACACCATGATCAAGCAATACCACCAGCCGGACCATGAGGGTGTGACCAGTGCAGTGGACAAGCTGCAGCAGGAGGTAAGTGTTACGGAGCGTGCCTGTGGTTGTCCCCAGTGCAGGCTGCAGGCCAGAGGCCCAGGCTGAGGTCTGTTGCTTGTAGTTTCACTGCTGTGGCAGCAACAGCTCGCAGGACTGGCAGGACAGCGAGTGGATCCGCTCTGGCCAGGCGGGCAAGCGTGTGGTTCCTGACAGCTGCTGCAAGACTGTGGTGCCTGACTGTGGGCGGCGGGATCATGCCTCCAACATCTACAAGGTGGAGGTAAGCAGGCACCTGGAAGGGCAGGCAGCACCAACCAGGCCAGCACTCACTTTCGTCATTGCACTCCTCCTGCCAGGGCGGCTGCATCACCAAGCTGGAAACGTTCATCCAGAACCACCTGAGGGTCATTGGGGCTGTGGGCATCGGCATTGCCTGCGTGCAGGTATGGGCCAGGGGCGGGGCTGGGGCTGGGAGTAGGTGGCTGGCAGCCCTGAGGCCCACTCAGAGCCACATTACTGTGCATAGGTCTTCGGCATGATCTTCACTTGCTGCTTGTACCGGAGCCTCAAGTTGGAACACTACTGAGCCCCAGGGTCTGGCCCACCTACCACCATGTCTGACTGAACTGAGACTACTGATGTCAGGGTGACAGCTCCGTGTGTGCCTGTGCTCCCCTGGAGAGGCCTTGGAGATGGCTGTGCCTTTCACTGTATCTTAAAGACCCGAGGCCATTCCCACCGCAGCTCTGTCCCCAGGGGCCAGTGTGCCTATACCTGGGGACTCAGAACCCAGGCCTGGCCAGTCAGTAGTGGCTGGGCTCTGACAATCAGTGCCCCTCCCAGGAACCTCCTCTGATATGGGGCTTTGGTACTGCGTGGCATTTCAGAGGCAGGAGGGGGCCACTTCCTGTGCCTGCCTTGCTCACAGAGCTTTGTATTCTCATTTCACTGGGGGACAGCTCTCTGGCCTTCTCATGAGGCTATGCTCCCTAATGGCCAGAACCCTGGCTTTGTTTCCCCACTTAATTTTGTTTTGTTTGCCCCTATGGCTCATAACATCATGTCTTTTGCACTGACCAGTGTCACTGCGCTGTCTCCCTATCAGTGTCCCCGTGGGGACAGGGGATATGATTTTGCCCTCTTGCTGTTGCTCACGTGCCCACAGTTACTCCTGTCTAATAACAGGCGCTCAATAAACATTTGTTGCAACAGCCGGGTTGATTAGCTACCTTTCGGACAGGTGGTGGTATCTTGAGGGTCCATTGTCTCATTTGGCAGCTTGGGCAGAACCCACCTGCTCAGTGTCCTCAGTATCCAGGGAGCTCATGGGGCTTACAGGCAGGGAAGTCCAAAGAGCAAGGCAGCAGAGCACACTCCTTAAAGGTGGAAGTTCCTTGTGGGGAGGGAACAGAGGTCCTCCAGATTCACCTGAGACCAGTGATCCTTGTGTCCACCTCTGGGGACACAGGAGGTAAAGGCTGGGGCAGGGCATAAGCCCATGTGAGCTGGAGGATACCAGGGCCTGCTGGGGTGGGGAGCTTGTGCAGCCCCTTTCCCTATGGACTGGTTATCCTGCAGCGTGAGCACAACATCCACTCCTGCTTGCCTGGTCCAGTGGACTGCAGGCCTCATGGGCAGCCTCCAGATGGAAAGTCCCACTGCAAGGGCTATTGATGGTCAGACTGGCCCAGACCCAGACCTTCAAGGGCCAGGACCCAAGTAGCTAGGGATTCTAGCTCCTGCAGGTTGTACTTGCAGCACAAAGGCTTGGGCTGAGTCCTGGGCTGTAGTTTCCTAATAGAGGGATGGAACCAGGAAGCAGAAAGAAAACCAGGCCTGGAAGTGGAGGAGCTGGGCCATGTAGCCTTAAGTAGAATGAAGGGCATAGAGACACTGGTACAGAGGAAGTCTTACAAAGCCAGATCTCAGAACCCTTGGTAATTCTCCAAAGACCTTTACTGGATTCTTTCTAGAGTATTGTGCCCACATGCTTGTGGCCCAATTTTGCTCCCACATCTTCAAGCCTCAGCTTGAACTCAGCAGGACATGTATCCACCATGATCAAAGGATAGCAATCTTATCCAGCGGTCACTTCTCCAAGGGTGCATAGTTGAGCAGTTTCTCAATCAGGTCAACATGTGCCAGTAGCATACGGCGACAACAATAGCGTTTCAGACCCAGTGCATCCAGGGCATCCCTGAGTTGAGGGGAGAGACAGTGAGGCTGACTGTGGGGGTGCCAGTCTCCCAGGCTTAGAACCTGTCCTGGCAGGCAATGCTCTCTGTTCATCTTTCCCCTCCCCTCCCTCCATCTCTCTTGGATCAGGGCTGACCCCAGGGGGCATCCTCCCCTATCTACTCTAAACCCTGAGTCTCACCAACCTCAAGTCTTGTGCCCCATGCTCTCACCTGGCTTCTGTCCCTGCTTTTGGCTCTATACTTAGGGCTAGAGCTGTTTCTTGGGATTTCCAGACTTCATTTATCCCCTCACCAAATTGCTAATTCTCAGCCCTCCCCACCTACCTCAGAACTCCCTCACTGAACTCTATCAGCCCCAGCATTCCTTTAGTAGGTAGGTGCACGGCCTTACTCTGGCCAGAAAAGCCAATCCTTGTGGATCTTTACCCACCTGTTTTCCCCCAAATCAAGTAGAAAGGCCACTTCCCAGGGAGCCATCTCTACCTGTCCCAAACCAGTTGGAAGCTTCAACTTCCTGGAATCTAGTCACCCTACAGACATCACGAAATTCCCACACCGTTGGCTCCAATGTGCAGACATGCCAACCTGGGCAAGGGGAGGCCGGACTTGAGGGTGTGTGACCATGGTATCTCCACAGGAGAAGGGCCTGGGAACACTTCAGCCACTCACACCCATAATGGTCCTTCCAGAAGACCACTCGGCTCAAGTTCTACTATTGTATGGGTGCACATAGGAGCCAGGGCTTCATAGGCGACCAAGACACAGCTGTCCAGAGGGTGGCTGAAGGCCAGTCTCCAAAGGGGGACAGTCAGGCATGGTAGTGTTACAGGCAGCTGGGTAGAAATAATTACAGGCAGTGAGACAGCTGTATCCTTAAAGGAAACAGTGCAGAACACTAGGTATCTTGCAACCTTGGAGGAGACAAAACACCTCCTGTAGTGGGCCAGATCTCAAACCAAAAGGCAAAACAAATGCTACCACACCCTAAGGATAAACTTCAGGGATTGATGTTCTAAATAGGTATGGATCACTTTGAGGAAGCCAGGAGTCACTATCCCAACCCCCTACAGGAAGAGTCTTTAAGCATGTCCACTTGCTAGGTGCCTCACTTCCCCATTTGTCCTTGATTTGGTCAATTTTACCTGAACAATTAGACCACAATTCTGTCCCACCTTGTGAGTTCCCAATTTTCCCCACCTTAGACCTGTCTCACTTTGTGGTTTTACTTAATAAAAGTCTCTAGAAAAGACAAAGCCTTTGGCAACCCACGAGGGAACCTTTGTCTCTCTCCCAAACAAAACCTTTCTTTCTCTCAATATATTCTGTTCTTAACCTCTATTGTTCCTAAAATTCATTCTTGGATTTTACAGAATACGAACTGGTCGGGACATCTAGTAGGCTGGGAATTTCATTTCCCTGTATCAGCAGTGACTAAAAAGAGCCATGGTAACGCCTAGGTGGAAAGTCTCTCCTTCATCTTAGTGGATCAAGGCTTAAGAATATGAGGTGGGCTTGGGAGCACAGCAGGGAGAGGGTAAGTGGCATGTTTTGTGCTGGGATGAGGAGGTGCTTGTGACCCTCTGGGATACTCAGAAGGCTCCAAGACACTGGTGCTTATTGTCCACATCTCCCCAAACTGTAGAAAGCAACCCTCTCAAGAGAGTAAAGAGGTGCTGGGCTTGAGATCCAGGGCCTGAAAATCTTGGTAACTACTCCTCTCCGTACGACTTCCCACCCTGTGATCATGACCCTGGCCCCAAGGTCGAGACCCGCATCCCACCGCCCTAGCTCCGCCACGGAGCTCCATCCCACGACCTCTGCCCTGCCATCGGGACTTCCATCCCACAGTCTCCATCCTGTCGTTGAGACCATTATGCTCAAGATTCTGGCCCTACAGTCAAGACTACTCCCCACCCCTATCCCATCCCCGGGACCCACTACCCCGGGGCAGCCGTCGGGAACCCTGCCCCACGACCCTAGCACTGCCAACCCGCGCCCGGCAGGCCCAGCGTCTCACCCCTCGGTATACTCGGCCTGCAGCAGTCCCAGGTAGGCCTCCCACTTGTTGCCGACGATCTTCCCGCAAGTGAAGCAACGGACAGGGATGATCATGGCGACGACTGGAGGGGACGCCAGGCCGTGCCTCAGGTCTCGCTCAGGACGCGCCCACTTGGTGGGGGCCGGACCCGTCCCAACTGCAGCCCGGCCGATCTCTGCCAGCCCTGGCCCCGACTTGGGCCCGCGCTATCGCGCTGCCGTCTGGTCCCCGCCGCGTTGAGTTTACCCCGTGCACAAGAGTAGCCTCAGGGCCCGCATGTCCGCGGGAGGAACACAAGGAGTACCCCCCATCCGTCGCGGTGGTACGTTCCAGTGCTACGGCGCCCGAGCGAGACATAAAGATGTAGCACCGATTCGCGTTTCTCGTGCTCGCTTGACTGACAATTTAGCTGCGGAAGCGGGTTTGCGTGCGCAGGTACGGCACCGGTGGGCAGAGGTCCCGTGGGCCGAGCGGAATCCCACCGCCACCGGAGCGAAAGACAAATGCACGAGTTCGAGGGCCGTGTACGTGACTCCAGCAGAACGGCGGCAACAAGTGGCAGGGACGGGGTGGGAGGTTGCCTGGGTCGCGCGGCCATGGCAGAGGGGTCCAGCCTAGAGCTCTGCCCGCGGCCCTCGGGGACTCGGCCGCTTCATCTCGGGCACCCCTGGAACGCCGCAGGACATCGGCCGCGGTGACCGGTCCCCGACGGCGGCTTTCCGGCCGCCCTTTCCGGGTAGGGGCTGGAGGGGCGCGAGTAGGGGAGCCAAAAGCAAGAACCAACTCTCGCCTCGGCAAGGTGGGTGGTCTGGGCAGGCGGCTTGGAGGAGGCGTACTTGGAGGAATCGCAGCGAACCTGTTCTGGTTCGGGAGGCTGTGCCCGCAATACCGCTGGGAGCGACAGGACCGCCTGCCTCCGGGGATACAGGCCGCCAAGGACCTGGGGGACAGGGTGCTAACAGGGGATTAAGGGAGAGCCGGAGACGGGAAGGAGGAGGTGCACTTGGGTCCCGGACCGGGGCGCTGCTGTCTGGGTCCCAGGAGACTCAGAACTCGGCCTTGGTGGGGGCATATGACGTTCGCACCCCGCCCCCGCGGCTCTGCCATCCCCTACTGCGGGCACGTGCGGAGCCACGCGCAGAGGCCACTTCCCTTCTCCGCGCCCCAGGCCGAGTGGACGCACATCCTGCCTGGGCGAGGGGGCAGCGGGGCCCGGTGCAGCGGGGTCCGAGTCAGACTCGGCTGCGCAGCAAGGTGAAGGCACGAGGGCGCCCCGGGTCAGCTGGGGATGGGTGGGGACTCGGGGGACCTGGCGGAAGGGCGGGGCCTGACCACCCTGCCTCTCGCCCGGACGAGTTGTTTACCCTGGGAGGGCCGGGAAGTGGGGCCTGGCTGAGGGACATTCCTGGAATTCCGAGTGTGAGCCGATGGGGCGGGCTTGACCCTCTGTCCCTCCAGGCTCTGGATCCGCAGGCCGACCAGCCGCGAGCTGCTCCTGGGCCGTGGGAGTGCCGTCCACACTCAGGCCTGGGTGGACATGAGGGTCCTGCTGCCCTTCTCCACCTAGGCTGGTGCAGCCACATCTGTGGGTATCTGGTGCCAGACCAGGTTGGGATCGGGGCGGTTCCTGAGGTACAGCAGCGGGAAAGGAGGCAGCTGGGGTATAGGCCTTGAGTTCCATTCTTTTGAGGGACCCTGGGGCTGGTGGGCTCTGCTTCCAGGAGAAGGGTTGTGGCATGAGGAGGGGACGCTTGCCCATGTGCCCACATTCGGTCACCACTCTCCTGCTCCAGTTCCTGCCAGGGACCAGGGGAAAACCTACCACTGAGCCCCTCTTGCCAGGGTGTCGCTCTGGAAACAGCCGGGCAGGGCAGGGCACTAGGCTGGGGTGCCTCGGACCTCACACTCTGATTTTTGGGTCACAGCCTAAGTTTTCTTGTCTGTAGTGCTCTGGTGGAAATAGTACCTTTCCTTGTGAGGACCTCAGTCTCAGCCCCACATCTGCACCCTCTGGCTGGCTGGGTTGGCATGTTTACCCGGAGGCATCCATTGCTGTCTGAAAGCTGCCATGCGAGTGAATGCTGCGCACAGGGTCCTTTGGGAGCTGGGGCCTGCCCAGATGTGGGGGTATGCCGGATGGGCCTGCCCTGCTGACCATGGAGGGGCTTGGAGTGCAGCTCTAGCAGCAGAAGCCTGCTTGAGGAAGTGGCGGAGGTGCTGAGCCAGGCTCAGGAGGGCCCAGAGGAAGAGAGGATCCACGTGTGTGTGTGTGTGTGTGTGTGTGTGTGTGTGTGTGTGTGTGTGTGTTTCCCCCTTCCTGTCCTTCCCTGAGTTAGGCAGATCAGATGGCCTTACCCAGGCTGTGTGAGCTGCACTCCCTATGTATTGCTGTGCCCCTGCCCTGGGGTGGGGCAAGGTGGACACCCGGGCTAGCAAGGCAGGATGTACAGCAGGACAATGGACTGCAGCCTGTCTGAGTCAGCTTTACCCTCCCTGCCTGCTCAGAGCCAGCTCTGCCTGGGTGCCAGTGTGGGCTGCCTAAGTGCTGTGGGTCTGGCCGTGGTCTCCTTGCAGCTCACACTCCAATCCCACAGCTGAAGGTGTCCTCCTTTGGGGCCTTGGTAGGTGGGTGTTCGCCCTGGGACATTGTTGGCTGGCTAGGGGTGGGGTGTGCCTCTGAGGGGCAACTGTCTGCTCAGCTGAGGAGGTTGGGGTGCAGTGAGAGAAGTGGGCAGTGCTAGCTGTGGGTGTGCAGGCCAGTGTCCTGCACTGTGTCTCCATGGCTGTATGTGAACACATGTTGAAGCATAGTGTTCCAAGAGTGTGCATGTGCTTGGGGTTTGAGGAAGTTGCCAGGCTGAGCCACTGGCTGCAAGTCTGGCCCCATTGTGTGGCACAGCCCAGCCCAGGGGTAGGGTTTCCTGGGCTCTGGCCTCTGGTCCCTAGGAACCTTTCTGTCATATTAGGGCGGCCTGCATTCTGCAGTCTTTCCTGCAGGGCACAAGCCACCATGGCTGTGCTGATTGTTCTCCAGCACCCCACCCCAGGCCTGGGCTCACCCAGGAATGTCCTGCCTGGGTAGGTAGGATGTGACCGGCCTGTCCTGGCCCTGTGGCTGCCTGTCTGCCTGTGGACACTTCTTAGGTGCTGGGACAGACACAGTCTCTGAGCCTGTCTCCTGAGGGGGGTCCTGTAAGAGAGGGCTGGGCTTCAGGGACAGTCCCTGGGGCTGACAATCCCATATAGGCACTGATGCCAGGGCCCTGCACCCTTGCCCAGTCTGCAGCCTCCCTGTGGACCTGGACATCTTTAGCTGCTTGGCCCATGGGCCCTAATGCCAAGTTGGCCTCTGCCCATGGAGGTGGCATGCAAGGGAGGGGCACAGGGTGGGCACCCTGGGCCGTAAACTTAGGACCAGAACTCAGACAGGCTCCCAACTGCGCTCACCCTTGGCCTTGGCACTGGGGGAGGGGGCCCTCATGGTGCTGTCCAACACCACTGTGACTGCCCATCTGGTCCAGCTATATGGGGTTTGGAGAGGTAGGGCTTGGGACTGCTGCCTGGATAGCAGGACCCACTCTTACCTTGTAGCCCCTGCTCCTTGCCCCACACCCCTAGTTGGCTTTTGTGGGGCCAGATGGGCAGCCTGGGGTCCAGCCATCCCATGGTGAGTTGAGCTGGCTGTGGGCTGCAGGGCCAGCTGGGGGTGGCCTGCTGGTGCTCCATGCAAGCAGGTCAGCACGTGTGGTGCACTGCTGCAGTAGTGTTTAGATGCTTGTGCTGGCCTGCACACTTGGCCCTGGATCAGCCTGTGTCCATGCTCTGCTTGGACATGGGGCAGTTAAATGGGGCCAGGGGCTGCTGGAGGACCCCAAGGTTCTGGTTTCATCTGCTGCTACTGCTTCCTGGCAGTCTGTGGGTAGGGCTTTCTGCTCCCCTGCCTGGCTTTTGCTGCACAGTTCCAGCACTGTCCCTTTTCTGTCCGTGTTCCCTAATGGGAGCAACAGGCCGAAGACCTTAGGAAACCCCTCCTGCCCCCACCCAAGTATTGGAACCCTGGAGTCGGCCTTAGGGCCTGGGCTGCAGTTACCTACTATCGCCCCAGAGGGCAGATGAGGGCTGGCGTCTGGAACCCGCATTCCAGGGTGTGTTGGGGGATCAATTGGTACATCCCAGTTCCCCTCCCAGGCACTGATGGCTAGTTGTGGCCCTTCCAGAGACCTGCGGAGCCGGCCAGCCTGGCCACACCTCCTTCCCTCCATAGGTGGGCATCAGTGGGCCTCGGTCCAGAATAGGCGCGGCCTGGCGTGTCCCTTGCAGTTATGGCTCCCATTCCAGTGCTCCAGGTAGCAGGTCAACGGGCGCCCTGGCTCCATGCTGATTGCCTGCTTTCGGGGTAGGGGTGGTAGTGAGGTGTCTGGGCTGCGCCCTTGGGAGAGCTGTAGGGCCCAGCCCAGGACATCAGTCCCATCTTTGCTTTGTGATCGGTTGGTATACGTGCACCCACAGCGCAGTCTTTCAGGCTAACGGGTGGGTGCAGATGAAATTTGCACCTCTTAATTCTGAAATTTCAGACATCTGGAAATGGTTCCAACAGAGTCTGAAACGGCAGTCACTGGCGCTCCACCCCGGCCCTGGGAGACAGAACAGGCCACCAGAGTACCCTACGCCGTCGGGGGTTCTTTAGATTCCCTTCTGGCTCGTGTGTCCGAACACCACCACTTCCCGGGCATCCTGGGCTCCCCAGATGCCTGAGGCAGGGAGCTGCCCCAAATTGCCAGCCTTACCAGTTGGGTCGCCGCTGACTTTGCTCAGCGCTCCGGCGTGTTGGGGTCGTGGGATGGATGTTCAGGCAGAGCTGCAGGGTCTCACCGCCTTTCTCCTCCGCGGCGAGACGCAGGGGCGGGGCCGGGCTCGCTGCGATTGGTTGGCTGAAGGGGCGGGGCGGCGCGGGATTGGACCGCGTTGCGGGGCGCAGGGAAGCGGACTTGTGCGGGTCCGAGCGGGCCTCGTCCCCGCCGCACCGCGGGGCCGGGCCGGGTGGAACCGGCCGGGTGCACTTGCGGCCAGGCAGGGATGGGGCGTCCTGGGGCGGCAGGCGCGCGGCGGTGACGGCCCGGCCCCGCGCCATGCGCCGCTCGAGCACGGACGAGTCCGCGTACCGGCGCAGCCCGTCGCCCGAGGGCAAGGGCCCGGGCCCTTTCCGGCGCGGTAGCAGCCCGCGTGGACGCGCGGACGCAGGCGGCGTCTTCTTCGGGCTGCACGCGGGGCCTGGACCTCGGACGGCCCAGGCGCGCTACTCGGCGCCCCGGGGCAGCAAGTATGTGGTCTTCTACCTGGACCTGTCCTTCATCTTTCTCCTAGAGCTGAAGCGCTGCAGCATGGCGCGCGGCTGCCTACAGGGCGTCAAGTACCTCATGTTCGCCTTCAACCTGCTCTTCTGGGTGAGTGGCGTGCACGTGCGCTGCGCAGGGAGGGGTGTCACCGCCTAGGTCCCCATATCTCCTGCCTCCTCCCCACGTGCGCTCTGCCCCCAGTACCCCACTGTACTCCCCTGACTCGGTGGGGAGTCACGGAGGCGTTTTCCCGCGGGTAAGGGTGGTCCGCACAGGTAGCGATGCGCTGGGGAGGCGCTTGGCTTTCCCGGCCCCCCTGCGGCAGCAGAGCGCCCCCAGTTTTGGCCAGGTGCCGGTGGGGTTTGCGCACTCGAAAGTGTGTGTGGGTGGGTGTCGGGGTGGGACTCGCACCAAGCGGAGAGCAGTTCCTTGCCACCTGGATGGGGGCAGAGTTGTCACCTCACAGCGCTGCTGCAGGGTCAGCTAGGCCTGGACAGGGAGGAGGCCTCTGGGGCCAGGTCTGGGCCTGGGGCTTTCGCTGGTGGAGGCTTGGGGAGAAACAGCCAAGGTCATTACAGGGTCTCTGCTGCTCCAAAGCCTGCTGTCTCCTCCCGCGGTGGGGTGAGGGGCGTGGCTCACTTGTGCAGGGTGTCCTGCAGGCCAGGTCTGCCAAAGACTAGGTTCCTCTTGCCTTCTCATCTTGCCTGGTCTTGGTTGTGCGGGTGGCGAGGGGGTTGGGTGGGTCACAGCTTGGCTGCCTGTAGGTGTGACCTGAGAAGGTCTCTCTCTGGGTCCCCTGTAGGAGGGGGGAAGAGGGTTCCCGGAGGACTGAGACAAGGCCAGGGCAGCAGGGCAGGTGTGGTAGGCTCTGCTAGGTGCTGGGCAGCTTCCTGGGCTGTGCAGGGCAGCACCAGCACAGTATTGTCCAGCACCCATTCAGCTCAGTGGAGTGTCCCAGGCAGTGCAATGAGACAGGAGATGCTACAGGTGACAGTGTGACAGGGGAGCAGGCCTGGAGCTTACAGGGACAGGTGCCAGCTCAGAGGGTGGGTGGCAGGTGAGGTGTGGGGTAGGCAACCTTGGCTGGCATTGTGGGGTCGGCAGGCACCTGCCACACCTCTTCTCCTCCTCCCTGACCAGACAGCACCTGCAAGGGGATGGCGAGGGGTCCTGGGGCAGGGTGTCTGCCTGAGACACCCTGGTGGGGCTCCAGGCCTCATTGCCTGCTGCCCCTGAAGAGGATGCGCCCACAGCCTGCAGGGACATCTGGGCTAGAAAATAGTCCTTTTACTATCCAGGCATGACACCCGTCACTGACGCCCAGCAGGTCTGAGGCAAGGTGCTTTGAAAGAGTGGTATGGGCCTGGTGGTGTGACTCCCATCTTAACCTTGTCACAGTGATATCCTGAACTGCACCCCTCTGGCTAATTAAAGGGTGAATGAGCAGCAAGCCCCCATTCCTTAGGACCTGACCCTGATGCATCTCTCCTGTGCTCACTGGGACCGGGCCCACAGGGCCCCATGGTGGCTTCAGTTATACCCTGGAGCTGCACCTGCTGGGTGATAACTCAGCTCTGGCCAGCCTTCTGCTGAGGCTGGGGTTGTTGCATGGGCTGGGGGTCTTCTGGCAGCCCTGTCATCATGGGAGGGGCAGGGGCCATGTGGCTCCAGAGAACCAAGTCAGGCCTCGTGGCTGCCTCATCAGCTGGCTTGCTGCCAGCAGAGCTTTTCCCACAATGCAGGTTGAGGTCCCCAGGGCTGAGGGAGTTGGCTGAGCCCTGCTCCCCCACTGGGCAACCCCACCCGAGCAACCCCGGTGAGACTATCTCTGGCTGCACTACGGGCTTGGGTGTGTAGCCTGGCTGCCCAAGAGGTAGCTGTGGCTGCCGAGGTATGTTGCCCTGGCCCAGGCTCTCAGAGCAGCCTCAGCTGCTCCTCACAGTAGTGGCTGTGCCTGGTGGAGCAGCCCTGCCTGCCTTCAGCCACCTGGACACTGAGGATCACAGGGGAGCCCCTCCTTTCCCCAGTCCTCAGTATCTCCGCCTGTATCCTTGGGGTAAACAGGTGTAGAGGCTTCACAGCTTGTATTCCACAGCCCATGTCAGCCATGCTGGACTTCAGGCAGCAGGACTTGTGTCAGAGCCCTACCCCTGTCACCTCCCCCATGCTGGGAGGGAACAGGCCACTGCAGCCTGCCCCAGGGTGTCACAGTGGCAGCCTCAGTGCCCACACCGTCTCTTAAAGGAAGGCCCTGTGTCTTAGGCCTGTCCGAAGCTGATGGGAGCTGTGGTGGGCCCTGTGGCCTGGGCTCTTTCACTTCGAAGGAGAGGAGCTGATGCCTGTGGGATAGCAGCCCTCAGCCTGGTGCAGGAGGGACAGGGCAGAGCTGGACACTTGGGGATCCTCTCCCTCCTGCCAGTGACAGCAGCCATGATGAGGATGGCAGGGAAGTAGCCCACTGTACTGTGGCCTGATAGACCAGTGAGTGACTGGCTGGGGTTCAGGTGGCCTCAGGGGTGGACAGGCACACTCCTCCAGGGTAAGCAGCATCTCCGCCCACCTCGCAGAAAGCGGCTTCTGGTCATGGCCTTGGCCCTGTGGGAACGCAGCCCTTACTCCACTCGAGAGATGTGGCTGGCTGCCAGGCCATCTGCCACCATGAGCCGTGTGGCCAGAGGGGTGGCAGGTATTCATCTTAGTAGGGTGGAGGGGGCACTGGATCCCTGATACCCAGCCTCAGGCTGATGCAGAAGCACACTGGAGAGGTGTATTCCTGAGCACCCATTTCATGCCAGGGCTGGATGGGTACCAGGGTGACCCCGCTGAGCCCTCCAGGGCTGTCACAAGCCTTCCTGTCCTCAGCAAGGGCCTGGGCACTGCATAAGTCTAGGGTGGGCAGGTGGCAGCTGGGCTGTGCGCAGGCCAGATGCTCTGGGCTGACATTAACCAGGAGATGCTGGGACACTGCTGCAGGGGCCAGGGCCTCTGCAGCATAAAGAAGGCACAAAGGGGCTCCTCTGGGGCTGAGGTACAGGGGGACACTGCTAGGTGGGGTTTAGGTTCCCACATCTGACCTGGCAGTCTCAGCTCTCCAGCCCGGGAGAGGCCTATGGGTCCAAGTCTAGTGAGTCCATTTCCTCAGCACTTTGAGGCTATAATTTTCCTGCCAAAATGTTTTAAAAGCTGTACACACAAACATTTTCAGAATTACAGGTACAGCAATTTTACTCTCCAAGAACGTGCATTTTATTACATGCCCCTGTGTAGCACAGGAAAGGGCGCTATGAGGGGGGCAGGGATAGGGCTGGGGGAAGGTACACCCAGCGTGTGACACTGCAGGTGGGGTGAGGTGCCCTGGAGGGAGGGTGCAAGCTGATGGTATCCAATGCAGTGCCGTGATGGTAGTGACAGGCTTCCCGCTGTCTGGAGCCTTCATGGAGGGTAGCAGTGAGGGTCCCTTCCCTTCTACCCCAGAAGAGCCCTCCTTCCCCCCAGGTGCCAGCTGCTGTATACAGCAGTGTCCTCCCTCTGCCCCCTGGGTCCCGAGAGGCCAGGGCACAACAGTGGCTGTCTTTCCTGCTGACAGCCACCAGCCATCCTTGGCAGCAAGGCAGAGGCAGACCATATGAGCATTCTGAGTTTTAGTGGTTTTTTTCCTGTTACGCCAGCCCCTCTCCTCTGCTCAGACATCACCACCTGAGGTGTGATGGGTTGGGTGAGTGTCATCCAGGTCTGCCTGAATCCCTGTGATGTCAGCCTTCCCATGCACAGGTATGGGGGGCTGGGGACCCCTGCCTGCCCTTCTTCCTTTCTGACGCAGTATTTGCATGGCAGCTGGGCAAGCTGATTGTGACTCCACTGGGTGCCACTTATACAGTTTCTGGTGACCTGTGGGACCCTGTGGGACCCTGTCTGTCACCCCATGGGTCCTGGCAGACCTGAGGCTGTGCACTAGCCCAGGAGTGGTTGACACTCCATCTGAGGGCTCTGAGGCCCTGGATGGTACCTAGAGTGGCTGTGTGGACAGAGCTAGCACTGGTCAGGCTCTCGTGCTTCCTAGGAGTGACGACATCCTGAACACTAAGGGGAGCTCCAGCCCCAGCTGCCCCACCTGCTCAGCACAGTGACACGCTGCCCCTGTGGGTCCCCTGTGAGGCTCAGGCCAAGGCAGGGCTGGGTCTGCTAAAGGGTCTCTAGAGCCAGCAGAGCCCAGCTAGCCCTGGGGCCTTGAGGATCAACCCTCCAGTGAGAGTGTCACCTGGTACCATGTGCCCTGCTCCTGTGGAGGATCCCCCGGCTTTCCATCCAGAGCCATGCCTGGGTGAGTGCACCAAGGTCTCCGGCCAGGTCTATGAAGCCCCTGTGAGGGGGAGTCTGAGGACCAGAGTCATAGCCAGGTCATACTAGCCAGCCTGATGCTCAAGACTCCAAGGAAGAGTGGCCTGGCAAGCCCTGAGAGCAGCCTCAGGCAGGACTTAGCAGCTCCCTGGGGGGCCCAGGGCTGTAGTCGAGGAAGTGCTGTGTGTAAACATCAGGCCTAGGTGCTGGCTGGCAGTGGGAGCATGAGCAGGGCCTCCTGGGGACCAATGGGTGCAGGCGGGGGGGGGGGGTGTTCCCACCACTCGGAGGCTGAGATTCGTCCAGCCTTGGGGCAGTGTTCAGTGTGCTCCTCAGTTCTCTGTGGGCTCCCAGCCAGCCAGTTCCTGCGCTGGGCTGGAGCAGTGCTGGGTCAGGAAGGCCCGTTCTTCCCCCAGGCCTGCAGGGCACCTCATCCTGTCCTGTGTCTGTCCCCCCACTGGTGCTGTCCTAGCTGGGAGGCTGTGGTGTTCTGGGCGTTGGCATCTGGCTGGCTGCCACGCAGGGGAACTTTGCTACCCTGTCATCCTCCTTCCCGTCCTTGTCGGCTGCCAATCTGCTCATCGTCACAGGCACCTTTGTCATGGCCATTGGCTTTGTGGGGTGCATCGGGGCCCTCAAGGAGAACAAGTGCCTGCTGCTCACAGTAAGTGCCGCTGCTCAGGGTGGGTGGGGGACTAGGGCTCCACCTGTGCTGGGGATGCCTGAAGGTGTGGGATGCCAGGCACGCTGGCGGTCCCTGAGGCCAGCCCAACCTCCCACAGTTCTTCGTGCTGCTGCTGCTGGTGCTCCTGCTGGAGACCACCATCGCCGTGCTCTTCTTCGCCTACACAGACAAGGTTTGGACGGGGCACATGGCCTGGGTGGGGACAGGGCAGGTGGACAGCAGCCCCTTGGGAGCCTGGCTCCCAAGGTGGGGATGACAGCTGTGGCCACCATTTGAGCAGTTCTGAGAGCAGAACCTGCTGCCCGCCCTTACTCGACACCTATTTCCACGGGACAGGCTTGTTGACACAGGCAGGTGCTCAAGTCCCAGCACGCTGTGCACTGTAGCTTTGCAGACCCTTCATGTACTGGGGCATGGCAGGCAGCTCCAGGTGGCCACACCCTGCCTGGCTTTGGAGCCAGCCACTTCCCGGGGGAGTTTGAGCCCCAAGATGTGTGCAGGTGAATCTGCTCCACCTGTGGCCTGCACCTCAGAATCCCTTCCCAGCCTGGGGGCTACCCCAGGTCCTGGAGGCTTCTGTGAGTGCACAAAGCCTGGGAAGGAGGGGTACCCTTAGCAGCAGTGACACAAAGACTGACTGGGGAGCAGAAGGGCTTTGGAGTTTCAGGTGGAGGTAGCTACCTGCCCTGCTGACCCCACTGCACCCCCAGATTGACAGGTATGCCCAAGAAGACCTGAAGAAGGGCCTGCACCTGTATGGCACGCCAGGCAATGTGGGGCTCACCAACGCCTGGAGCATCATCCAGACCGATGTGAGACAGAGGATGCCCTGGGGCGGGGTCAAGACTGCCCAGGCTGGCTCTCCCACCTCAGCCGACCTTCCTTTCCCCAGTTCCGCTGCTGCGGTGTCTCCAACTACACAGACTGGTTTGAGGTGTACAATGCCACACGTGTGCCTGACTCCTGCTGTCTGGAGTTCAGCGATGGCTGTGGGCTGCACGCGCCTGGCACCTGGTGGAAGGCGGTGAGTGTAACCCAGCAAGGGGTTCCAGTGGTGGGAGGCAGGCAGCCACTGACTCTGCTTCTCTACAGCCCTGCTATGAGACGGTGAAGGCCTGGCTCCAGGAGAACCTGCTGGCTGTGGGTGTGTTTGGGCTGTGCACGGCACTGGTGCAGGTGTGTGGTGCTCAGGCCCAGGGACATCCTTGTGACAGGATGGGGGTGAGCACAGGCTGGGAGAGGTGGAGACCTCCAGCACCCCAAGCTGCAGAGCCCTGCGCCCTTGGGGAGGGCTGGGGGCAGTCTGGCCTCAGTGCATGCACTGTTCTCCCTAGCACCAGGGAGGACCAGGGCAAATAGGTCAGTCCTGACACTCAGGCCATAGCCAGGATAGGTGGGGTGGCAGGGAGGAGGACACTGCCTTGGGGTCCAGGCCTGTGGTGGGTGGGGATACCCACAGGTGCTGAAACATCCCTGCCCAGCCCTTCCTGTACCCACAGATTCTGGGCCTGACCTTTGCCATGACCATGTACTGCCAGGTGGTAAGGGCAGACACCTACGGTGCCTAGACCATGGGGTGCCACTGGGCAGGGGATGCCACAGCCGAGCCCCTATCCCAGCCAGGACTCGGTGCTCCGCCAGGTGTGGCAGGTGCTGGCACCTCAGCGCAGGCAGCTGTGGGGTCTCAGGACCGGATGGAGGGGTCGACTGGAGACGGAAGACCTCCGAGTGTTTTGGACCCATGTGCTCTCCAGCACAGGGACACAGGGCCAATCTCATCACCTGAGTCTGCCGGTCCTGGTGCTTATGGGCCAGGCTGTCATCACATTCCATGAGAGCTGCGGCTCCAGGTGCATTTAATAAAGTGCTTGAGCAGCACCATCTCAGCTGTGTGCAAGGGTGCCCCTCATTCACCCATGCTGGGATCTAGGGCACCTACCCTGCTCCTTCTGCTGGTGCCTTCACTTCTAGCCTCTTCCTTAGTCTATGGAAGTAGTGCCCTCGTCGTAGGTGAGGGTTAAAGACAGGCCCATGTGCCTCAGGCTACCCAGGGCCAGTTGCCATGTGCCAGGGGGCTGAGTGGTGACCATCTGGGGCTTGGGTGGGGCACACAGGTCTCCAGATGGCACCACTGCTTTCATGGGCAGCCTCTGGGGCCTTAACCCCTCCTGTCACCACAGGACACAGTGCCCAGCACCGGGGGGAGGAATAGACCCTGGCTCTGGGCACGAGTCTCATGTTCTGTGTTCTCGGAACCCACGGAGTCAGTGGTGTGGATGCAGCTTGAGCCAAGCAAGTCACGTGGGTGGGGAGACCCCAAGAACAAAGCTAGGGCAGCTTAGGGAAAGGCCCTCCCTGCCCACCAGCCTCTTCTGAGGTCCACTATGTGACCTCTGTCCTGCAGGTGGCTGCCCCTAAATGGGCCTGGGTCAGTTTCTGGCTCTGGAGTTGCTGGCCTGATAGCTCCTGGTTCACACCACAGGCATCTGGACTGACCACGCCATCCTTGTCAACTTGATACCCCTGACCTTGCTGGTTCAGAACTGGAACTGGCTACCCCGTCCCCTCACAGAGTTGAGAGTTGTATCTGGCACCTGCCACGTACACAGGAGTGTGGGTACTCCAGGCTCTAGGCTCCCATGAGGCCAGTGTGGGGCTGAACCTGCATCTAGCCACCACCACACACTTAACTGACCACTTAACACACACCACACACATAACTGACCAGGTAAGGTGGGGCTGGAGTGCTGTCTGTGGGAGTGCTGTCTGTCTGGCCCAGCCCAGGGTCCTCCTGTGAACACAGCCTATCACCCCAAGGTCTTGGCTTGAATGGTGGCTACAGGGTCCCCTTTTGGTTAGGGTAGGATACAGCTAGTGGTAGCTTGACTACAGTGAGCAGAGAGACCAGCTGCCAGCTTGTCCAAGTGAGGCTGGCCCCCTAATCTGCCCCTCAGGATCCCCAGCTACATGGCTCGGGGCAAGAGACAGGATCCTGTCTCGCTTGGAGATAGACAGAGGTCCCTCCACCTGAGCCAGCAGGATCAGGGACTGACTACTAGAGAGGGAGCAGGCAGGTGGGGTGGGCACAGCCCCTGGTACCTGCACCTGCTCATGATGCCCATCCCAGTATGGCCTGTGGTCTGCCACTGCCCTCCCTACATCTGCACTGGCCACTGAGCAGAGTTGGGCAGGGCCAAGGGGTGGGCCATGTGAGGGACCCAACCCAGGTTGTCTCCATGGCTGGTGGCCAGGACAGCACCCTCTGCTGTATGGCTCCCCAGGACCACAGCAGAAGTCACAGCACACAATGAGGCTTTTATTTCATGGGCTTGGCCAACAGTCCACATCAATTTGGTGGCACAGCTAGAGGAGGTCATAGAAGTAGTCCAGACCCTGGCCCAACTCCCAGATGGAGACTCCGACGCCCAGCTCCTTGGCCAGCTCCAGATGCACCTGCAGGGACTGTGGGCACCAACAGACATGCGGGTGCCTGCTTGGCTGCTCCTCCCCTGACCATGGCACCCAGAAACCGCCTGGTGCCCCCCCACCATCCCTCATGCCCCAGGGAACTGACTGCAAACTTTCGCCTGGGGCCAGGGCTGGCGTTTCTGACCCAAACCATGCCCCCAACCCTTCCCGTGGCTGCGCAAGGCACTACCTTCAGTGTCGGGTAGAAGACCAGGTGTCTCCCGCTGCGGCTCCTGCAGTACAAGGGGACTGTCCACCTTCCAGTTTTGGTGCTTCCTCCAGCCAGCTAGCGTCTGGGTCTGCTCCCTGCCCCCAGAACACTTCCCCCGCCCACTGGCGATGGTGCACATCCTACTCACTTTTTGTATTCGAAAAAGTGCTCTGCAGCCTGGCCATCCCACACCATTCGAGGCCTGTGGTCCTTCAGCAGCTGGATATACCTGGAGAGGCCAAGTTGTGGGTGGGGAGCTAGCTGTACTCACAGCCACCCTTACCTGGTCCACATGGCTGTCTCAGAATCGGCCTCAAAGGACGAGCAGTGGAGGATGACATCTAGGCCCTAAGGCATCAGACTCCCCAAGGGCCCCACAGCTATCAGAGACCTTCATCACCTGCTCTGCAGAACTGACTCATGCTCCTAAGCTGCCTAGAGCCCAGGTGAGGGGCCAACGCTCTGCCCAGCTGCAGGACAGGGTGGGGAGATGACAGGCAGGGGCAGCTATCTCCAGGCCTCTGGAGCTGGGGTCAGTGACAGGACTGGAGGCCACCCAGGAGGACAGCACTTGGGTGCTGGGACACAGGTGTCTGAGGATGAGTGACACATACGTACCTCCCAACCTGAGCTGCCCAGCCGTGCCCAGCCCTTTGAGGTAGCCTGGCCCAGAGGTGGACATGAGCTGGGGCGACTGCAGGTGTCAGCCTTCAAGAGTAGCCCGTGGGATTCCCACCAGGTGCCTGTGACCTTGGGGCCTGCTGCCCAGGTGGAGGTGGCACTGGTGGGATCCTGTGGGACCCATTCTCCCAAGGGTACCTCCTCTAAGCCCTTGGCAGCGTCCTGAGGGCCACTGCACTGAAGTCAGCTGGAGCTGCCTTGCACTATGCCTGCTGGCACTTTTGCTCTGAGGATCAGGCCCTTCTGGGCCTCACTGGTCCTTCTGGGAAGTGCCTCCAGGCCTGGCCCTGTGAGACATCAGGAATTCTAGATCTGCTCTCCTAGGAAGTACAGGCCCTACCCTGACTGTCAACCCGCTTGGAGCCCCTAGAATTACCAGGTCATACTCCATTAGAAAGGCATTCAACAGCTTTCCATCCAGTATCCACTAACTGGCTGTGGAGGAAGCTTGGATGCAGGACGGAGGTAGAAGGAACTTGGGCACTTGCCAAGCAGGCCCTGGGATCAGAGTTGCAAAATGAGGGCCAGGAGGTGGCTGAGGATGCAGCTGTGTGACAGATGCTGACAAGGCCTTTGGGAGGGTGTGGGGGCAGCTGCCCAGACCTGTCATGCCCTGGAGTGTCAGAAGTCAAGCCCTGGAAGCCCCAAGGAAATCAGCCACTCAGCCTACCTGGGTGCCCGGCGGGGCATTCTGCTGAGTTTTGTGTTGCCCACCCTTTCTGATGTTGCATAATGTGTCTCTTACAAAGGATTTGCTGCCAAGGTGAGGGGCTGCAACCCATGATGAGCCCAGGTGCCCTCTGCCTCTGGTCTGGAGAAAGCAGGTTTTAGGTGACACAGGTGGACAGAAACCCAAGGCAGTGGTGGAGAAACAGGGGTGGGCCCAGCGAGGCCCTGCCTTGTGGGGGGTGCCCTGCCCTACAGTAATCCAGCCCCGGAGGAAGGCTGAGTGCCCAGCGGGGAGGTCTGGCAGCAGTAAGGCCAAGCTGAGGGCAATGTGGGTGTGAGAGCTTGGTACCTCCAGGCAACAGCACACCCAGCAGCCTGCGGTGTTCCAGCCGACCATGTCCCCCACTGTGGGCTGGCTACTAAGGACTGGGCTGCGGAGGATGATGACTGCTGGGAGCTTACTGGGGTCCCGTGAGGGTGAACCTTTTGGAATTTTCAACAATACATGCCACGGGGGCTTGGGATTTAGCTCAGCGGCATAAGGGCCTGCCTTGCAAGCAGGTAGTCGTGAGTTCGATCCCTGGTACCGATAAAAAATGAAAAAGACAAAAAAAAAAAAAAAAAAAAATACATGCCACGACTCACCACCACTGCTTTAGCCCCTCTTAGGTCATGTCTGAGGTGGTGTGCCAACAAAACCCAGCACACCCTCTCTTATTCCCTGGACAGAGGTCAGGGGTGAAAGGAAAGGGCATGAATGGCATCAGCTCCACCAGGACAGGGAGAGTCAGTGGGGTCTGGGAATGGACGTGCAGTCTCAGCTCTCACGGGAGGAGTCCCACAGAGTTGGCATCTGTGCTATTGCCCTGATCCCAGGGAGGCCAGCTGAGCAGGAGCCATTACCTGTCCAGGCTTGTCCAGTGCCCACACAGGCAGGGGCCATGAGCAAAGGGTGTTTCAGGCAGGGAGGAAGCTGGCAGGAGGGGCAATACTTCTGCCTGCTGACCAAACTCAGAATTCCAAGCCCAGTAAGGCCAGGAGGCCTGAGAGTAGCATCTGCGTGGCGCAGCTGTGTGTACAGAGGGACATACGCGTGTGCACAGGGTGGGCTGGCTCCACACTCCTGGCCTCAGGCCCTTGCAAAACAAACAAGGCTGCTGATGCCTTGGGAGACCTGACCAGGCTGGATGCCTGTGTCTGTAGCTCAGGCAGCAGTAAAGGTGGAAGCCACAGAGCCTTCACTCCTACTGCCATCCCACAGCACCATCATACCACTCCCGTGTCCCCAAACTTGTATGTGGGAAGCCTAGTAGTTGGCACAGAAATCTCTACTGAGGTCACCAGGTTAAAGCAAGGCCACAGACCGTCCTCCTATGGAGTCAGGGAAGAGCCTGGCCTCAGCACAGCAAGGCCCTAGGTTCAATCTCTAACACCAAAACTGCAAAGTGAAGGAAACTAAAACACAGGAAGACACCGAGAAGACACAGGAGGAGACAGGAGGAAGAGGGACTGGCCTTGCCACAGCTCAGGCTTGGCCACCAGGATGTGAGAACAAGCACTCCAGCCAGCAGCAGGGTGGAGTTGCACAGCAGCCGCTGGCTAGCTCCTCGGCTCCTTCCTGGAGCCCAGCCTGGGCTCAGCAGACTTCCCTCTGCTGCTGGGGAAGGCACTGCCTGCACCTGTTGGCCAGGCTTCCTGAGGTACCAGGGCTTGTGTGGGGACCCTGTGCTACAGGTTGCTCCATCCAGTGCTCCTAAGCCAGGACTCAAGGCACACCAGCAAAGCTTCCAAAGCCTTTCCAGGAGGCCCAGTGTTAGGATGGTTGGAGAAGGGGCATTGTACCCACATCACTGGGTTTGGTGGCTAGGACAGACAGATGGGGGCTGGGAGGCCAGGTATGGAGTACCTCAATCCTACAGCCAGGACATGGCAGTTAGCACCCCAGCCAGGACCCCCTCCCATCCAACAGCAGCTTCCCCACAACGGGCCCTCATGGTGCCCCAAGTATCCATGCTCACTACACAGCCTAAGGCTGGTCTCTTACTCACCGAAGCTTCAGGCGACCATGCTATCCCTCTTCTCAGTCAAGTCCACCTCACCCTGTCTGCACAGCTGAGCCCAGAACCAGAGTCCAGGCGGTGGTGGTTTGCCCAGGCCTCTACAGGAGCCCAGACCCCAGAACCAGCCACATGGACACAGAAGGGAGTGGGACCACAGACTTCCCTGATATCCCCAATGGAGAGGCCAACAGAGGGCTGCCCTATGAGGGACGGCCCTGATTAGCATCCTCCAAGTGGGATGAACCAAAGTCTGTGGAGAGGCGCGTCCCGAGCCCCCTGATGACTGCCAACTGCTGCTCCACTAGAACCACAGGTCCGGCCAAGCACTGGGTCATTCTGATCCCTACCCCAGAACACTGGTGTTTGCCCAAGGCAGGCAATCCAGCCTCTGCTCACCTGCCCCAGGGAACCCGAAGCACTTCCCAAGGCAGCAGCACCCTATCTTAAGTCTTTGAACCCCACCCTCCAGGAAAACACTACCAGAAATGTGGCCACTGGCACATTTCCAAGTGACTTCACTGTGCCCAGAACAAAGATGGAGGCTTTGCTGGACTGTCACACACCTAGCGCCCCAGAATAAATACTTCCCCATGTGGCATGGAATCCTAAAACACTGGCCAGTGACCAACCACAGGACTGACCAGAGTGGCCCCAGACACAGGATTAGCAGATGTGGACAGTAAGCATGAAATCCCACAAGTACAAGGGTTCCGCAAAGATGTGGAAAGATGTGAAACACAACCTGAAACAAAACTCAGACGTGAGGCCTGTGCCTGTGAGATGGAAGAGCACTGGATAGACAAGTGGCAAAGTGGATGGGACAGAAGAAAAGGTAAACTGCCAAAAAAGCAACAATGGAGAGACAGAAAACCTGGAAGTGGACAGTGTCCCAGGAGCTGCATCAGCAGGATGGCAGACAGAGTTGCAGAATCTACCCACAGCCTTCTGCTCCCAAGAAAAGCATGAGCACGCAGATCTGGGCTCAGGGGACACTGATGATGATGGAACCACACCCCAGTGACCAGTCCTGAGCTTGGCAGTGGCTGGGTGACAGGCAGATGGCAGGTGCATCCAGTAAACAGAAAATCATGGTTGCTGCCACAGCAGAATACAATCAGACATGGTCATGGGAGCAGAACTGCATGGCAAGAGGTGGTGCAGAAGCCCTGAGAGGACACAGCCTCCAGGAGGAGCGGGTCCCAACTGGGCACAGCCACAGATGGCCCGCACTCGAAGGAAATGCCAGTTGGCCACACCAGTGCCCAGCAGCTACATGTGCTCAGTGTACTCCTAGGACCCACTGTGGGAAGTAAGGCCCTTGAAGGGGGGCGGCAGTGGTATAGGTTCGAGGCTGCCTACCTGGGCTGGGCATATCTCCATCTCAAGCCCAGGACCCCAGGGCCTCTGTCCTCTCCAGCCTAGCATCTGGCCCCTTTTAGAAGAATGACAGCTTGGCAGCAAGGGTAGGGACACTGAAGCATGACAGGAGGGCCCTGGGCTCACCTAGTCCCAATGATAGGCTCACGGGCTTCCTTGGAGGCTGCATAGTCCATGCCATAGAAGTTCAGCCCCAGAAGAATCTTGCTTCGCCACCTGGACTTGGGGTCCAGGACCTGGACACAGGCTCGAACCCAAGAGAGTGGTGCATTGGGGCCAGGCCTGCGGGGACAATAGGAAAATGGGTTTCAGGGGCAGGCAGGTCGGTTCCATGGGCAGCTGCCTGGGGTGTATTCCTCTTGGGCTGCGGCTAACACTGCTCATGGCTTGGGAAGAGGTGGGAATGAGTAGCCTTCCTTAAGGGCCACTGATGATGTGACTAAGCATCTTATGCTGGGTACTTATATGCAGCCTCCCCGACTAGCAGGTGAATGAGATTTGGGCTGGGAGAGGTCAGCAGACATGGCCTCCTGTCCTTCCTGGCAGACGCCCACTACATCTGCTTCCCATGCTCCTTGGGAACAGGGAGCAGGCTGGTTCAGGCCTGATAAGGTGGCAGCAAGGCTGTGTGGTCCCCAGCAAAACAGGGCTGCCTCAGGAAGGGCCCTGCCAGGTGTTCCTCTACTGGCCATAAGCTGGTTGGGGGCCACCAGGTCCCTGTGCGTGAAGCCACAGAGCCCTGAGTGGGGCTGTCTGGCCAGAAGCCAAGGCATGGAACTACAACTCATAGGGAGCCCCTGCCCTGAGGAACTCATGGCACTCACTGCTGCGAGGTGGAGTAGTCATAGGTCATGAGGCTGAAGCCATCCAGCACTGGGGCCAGCTGCTCAAACTCCTTGTGTGTGAACATCCCCAGCTGGTCGGTCCTGGGACGAGACGTGTGGCCAGGGTCAGGACACCAGGCCCTCTGGCCCTGAGAGTCCCACATAATGGCCATGGAAATGGGACCTGCTTGCTGTTGGGCTGGGGCTGCAGCCAAACAGCAGCATCCCCGCCCTCTGCCCTCAGAAGGCCGTGCAGGGCAGGGTGGGTCCCATGGTGAATCCTACAACAGCCGAGCTCCACAGTTACCAAGGAACACAGCACCCCATCCAGGCCTGTGTTACCACTACCTGTCTGCCCCATTTTCACAGGTGCCCCAGCCACTGTACTCCTGTGCCAGGCTCCCCACCTGCCCTCTGGCACCATGAGCAGGGACAGAAGCCCCTCCTTGGGAAGGGAGTGTCAGGCTGCTCACTGTTCTTGTGTAGGCCAAGACCCAGTTGCCAGCACTCCAGAGATCCAAAGCTATCTCAGACTGGATCACTGTATTACCCATGATGAGCCTCAGTGGCTGGCAGCCCTACAGAAGGAAGACCAGCCCAGAACAGGTAACCTGGGCAAAATCACCTTATGGCTCCAGGAAAAGCTTCTGCATCACCAAGCTCCCCTGCCCCACTGGGACACTCACTCGAAGTCTGCTGGTTCCCCAGGCTCTATCTCATGTCCCCTGCAGGTGAGGTTTCTTGTTTGCCCACAAAGGGAGAAGACAGCTTCAGGGGACCAGTGACAGCCAGGGGACAGCAAGCCAGGACCACGCCAGCTACACAGCAGAGGGGGAGAGGAGTACTTGCCTGGCTCCTCAGGGCCTCTTGTCCCTTTTGCTGTCCCCCAGAGGCCACAGTTCAGGGGGAAGAGCACAGGGAGGCACAATGGCCTCGACCTTCCTTAGGACACCACCTTCCTAAGCTGGGCACTGTGGCTCAGACACAAAGCAGACTATGGCAGGGACAGGGCCCTTCTCAACTTGGCAGCCAGGTGTGGTCTTCTTCCTTGTCCCCAGCAGTCAGGGGGACTTCTTCAAGGGGATAGAAAAGTAAGAAGTAGTCTTTTTAGGGAGCTTATGAGTGAGGCAGCAACGGGCAGGGCTGAGAGCTGGGCAACTGGCTGCACTGATGGGAGCTGAAATGAACAGGAGACAGGGAGGACCTGGGACCCAGGACAAGCTTCCTCAGGCCACACGGGATGCAGCCCCTCCCTAATGAGCTCCTGAGTCTGAAGGAATTAAAATGTGCAATAACCAGGTTGTTTCTAAACCTTAAACCAAACAGGCTGAAGGGCTGGGCTAGGGAGCCAGAGTCCCAGTGGGTCATTTTGAATCTGCAGAGCCGCCTCTGACAGCTGAGTGGTTCCTATGTGTTGCCTGTCTGTAGTTACAGCAGCTCTGGATGGAGGGACCCTGCAGTCGCCCCCTGGGAGCCCGCCTGGAAATGCAGGTGCCATTCTTCCAGTAAAACTCTTGCAGCAGACACCTGTGGTTACAGACTGCATCCCTGGCCATCTGCATCACCAGGAGCTCAAGACATAGGTCTGTGTGGTAACACCTGGGCCTCTGCAGCCGTGCCTGGCAGCACAGCAGGCACACAGGAGGGATGGCCTCAGGGACATACCTACAAGGAAGGCGAGGTCACATCATGTATCACTGCAGAGACCTGCAACCACCAAAGGGACAGACCCTCATTCCAGAAGTCCCCTAGGAAAGCAGAACCTCTGGGCCACCAGCACCAAGCCTGCCCCAGTTGGCAAGGCACTGAGGCCTTTCTTAGACGTCAGCAAAGGGACAAGAAAGACAGGCACCTGGCCTCCACAATGGGGCTGGGCCCTGCAGGAGTCCCAGCTGGCACCTGGGAGCATCACCAGGGCAGGGGGCCCTGGCAGGGCTCTTCTGCTGGTGGGGCCTAGTGCTGATGAATAGCCAAACTGTCTCTCCTTCACCTGGAGTGCCCATCCCTCCACCATTCTTCCTGCCCCATGCCTGGTGCCAAGTGGTGACCTACTCCAGGTTCGCTGGTGCCCCTGCCCATGGGCAAAGCCTCAGGGACATTTATTCTAACCGGAGTGGCCTCCTCTGGTATGCTACATGCTGAGGCTGCACCCGCCTGGGCCAGGAGCTCATGGAGATGTTGACAGGACTGACCAGTCTCTACTGCCCTTCTTAGGGCAGACCTGGACGCTATTCACAGTGCAGCCTCTTGAAGGCTGGCAGGCCCTGCCCTGAGCTGTGCTTTCCAAAGCCCAGGGCCACAAGCCCAGACCAGGTGGTCTTGTCAGCACTGTCCCCAGCAGGAGCTGGCTCTTGCTGGCAATGTGGCCACATGGTCCCTGGTTGGCACTGGTGTTCTGTGAGAGCTCTTGAGGTGGCCTTCTGTCAGGCCCACCCTGTCTTCCTTGGCGTCCAGCATTGGGTCCTGTGCATCCCAACACACATAACACCCTGCCACATCCACAGTGCCATCATGCCTGGCTCCCGTGGCCACACAGCACTGCTTCACCATGCTGCCCAGACCTCAGGACCTCTGGCGGGCCGGCCCCACATCTCCATAATGTTCCCCCATAGGAAGGGATGACTGTGTTGGCAGTTATGGTGCCACACGGCACTACCTGGCACAGTGGCTGACACATGACAAATGCATGGCATGGCCTGGACTCATTTTCACAGGCCACTCAGTTTCCAAGTGCTCCAGAGGCTGGGACACCAGGGTAGCCCGTGGTCAGCCTTATCCAGCCACAAGTGGGGTGGTTGTTTGTGGAGAGAGGGCACCCTCTCAGCCTGTCCCTGGGCCCCTCTGTCTGGGCTGCATAGAGCTTCCAAAGAGACTTCCCGCCCGACATCCTCCCCATCATCCCCAGCCCACACAGCATGGAGAGGCCTGCCACGGAGCCATGTGTGACCCACAGTGTCAGGGCAAAAGGCAGAATGCATGGTCCAGTGCCTCAAGGACAGCTTGTGAACAGATTAGACACAGCATGACTTCTAACAAACAAACTTTCCATTTGTGCTGAAAATCTCACAAAAAGTCATTTCCAAAGTCATTTCCCAGGAATAGCAGCCAAGAGATGAGGAAGAAGACATTCAAGCCCAGCTCAGTCTGCGCCTGGTCTTGGGTGGGCTCCAGGTGGTCATGGCCAATGGGCGTGCTCACTGGCTATCAACATCAAGTGCCAGCCCATATGGCTGCACGCTCCCTACATTGGCCTGTGCCCACTTGTGCCAGGACAAGCTCTGTGCCCCAGCATGTGTGTGGACAACCTGGCCTGGTGCCTGTAGCGCTGGCCTGCACAGGCTTCCCCAAGTAGTCTTGTTCTTCCAACTGTGGACACCCTCCTGAGTGTAGGCCTGACCTGGTCTCTGCAGCTATCTTGGGTCCACCAAAGACCCCAGACTCCAGAAACCTAACAGACCCCAGGAGGCCTCATTCATATAGTAGTCCAGGAGCCCCTCTCCTGTGTTCTGCCCTTGGCTCCAGAGACCCCAAACCACTAAGCCTCTGGATCCAGGAAGCAAGGCAGCCCTGGGCCTGTGGTCAGCTCTGGGCATGAGGGGCTGGAGCCTGACACAGGAACCCACTTGGTACCATGGGGACAGGCACAGAGAGCTTTGCACTGTCACTGCAAGTGACAGGGGAGGCAGCCTTAGCTCCCATGTCCACTTCCTGCCTGGTCTGGGAGCTGCACAATGCTGACTAAAAACCAAAGACGGATTGGCGCAGAGCCCCACTACACTATACACATAGGCCATGCACATGAATGTGTACCACATGGGAACATGTAGCCTCCAGACTCACCAATCCCATCGGCCAATGAGCCACAGGCTACAGGGGTGATGGAGTATCTGGCTGAGGGCTAGAGGGCAGGCAGGCAGGTCTGCTCCTTGGGAGCTGCTGGGCTGTGTGCAGACCCAGGACCCCTGCCCCAATATGCCAGAGCACCCATACCCCCACCTGGCCATCATAAGCTGTGGGCCACCTCGCAGAGCTGGTTGGGGGGGGTAGTCTGTACCTGACACACAGGCTGGCACAGCTGACAGCCCCATAGCCCTCACCTGCTTGGCTTAACCCAGGGCAGGGTACAGTGGGCATAGCCTTGGCCTAAAGCACCAAGCCTCTGGGAGCTCCAGGACCTGTGAGGGAGGGAAATAGGCCCAGAACCCACCCACTCTCAAATTGAGCAATTCCTCAGTGGCCTCGAAGTTGCTCTGCACCGCAGGGCACAGTCTTCTACTGCTGACAAATGACAGGAAGGAATGCCAAAGCCAGCTGAGAAGGGGACACCTCCCCTCCCACCCTGCAAGACAGTGAGGTGCATCCACACAGATGGGTGGGTCTACTGTGAGGACTGAAAGAGCCTGGCCCTTGATGGAACACTGCACTGGCTGCCCCTGCCCCTGGACAGGAAGACACTTACCCTGGAGTGACAGCGGGAGGGATGACCAGGATGACCAGCAGCCGGGCCTGGTGCAGCGCTTCAGCCACATGGGTGAGCATGTGGACGAGGCCCCTGCAAGAGGAGGCAGGGTCAGAGCAGGGAACCCAGGGCTCTGAGAACCTTCTGCCTGGGATGCCCTGTTGTGGCCCACAGATAATTCCCAGCCCCTGTAGCCATGGCCCTCAGGACAGAGGCCACTGTGGACCCACGAAGTGCCCTTTCTCCACCTGGGACTTGCACAAAACCCTTCCACTTACTCAGGTCTCCAAATGTTCACACTATACCAAGTGTAGTAAGAGAAAGGGCTCCACATGATTACACAGCCCAAGGTCTAGGCCCCAAGGTGGGCCTAGCACGCTGACCTGAGCTGGCTGGTCAGCTCCAGGTTGTGAAACACCATCAGATGCTCTGAAAGCCACCCCAGGTGCTGCTTCAAATAAAGGGCCAGGCCCCTGGGCTGGGTACCAGATACACTGAAGCCAGCAGATGGGGGGACCAGAGAGGGAAGGACCCTTAGAAGGCCTCCTGCTAGGGCCTTCATGCTACCTGCAAGTGTCCCCAAGACACAGCAGACTCAAATGCTGAAAGGAGACCAAGGTCATCTGTCAAGGGACCCCAGGAGCTTATGCAGCTACCAGTCAGGAGACAGCAGTCAGGCAGATAGCCTGGAGCTGACCTCCAACAAGGATAGGCCTATTTCTGCCCCAGCCACTGTGGAAGCAGACCATCAGAGGCTGCTCCAGTGGGACTGGCAGCAGCAATGTCTCTTCCAAGGGCTTTGCCAACAGACCCTCTGGACAAATGTGTCTTGGCCTGTGCTAAGCACAGGTGTGACAAGAACCCATCGAGCCTTCCCTGGGCCTGGTATACTGGGGTAAGTCCACGTAGGGGCCGGCAGGACAGGAAGGCCTGGCCTTTCCTAGGGGCAGGCTGTGGGGTAGCCATGGGGCTGATCCCCCAGGGCCTGCAGCCTCTTACTAAAGCCTATCATGCTGTCACTATCACTCTGCTGGGTTGGGAGCGTTGACATTTGCTGGGTGGAGACCCTGGACCTCCTCAGTACTATGAATGGAGTCAGGCCTCTGGTCAGGATAGGCTAAGGCCATAGGCTGCTACCCAGAGCATGCCCTGAAGTCAAGACTGCTGGGACCTCACGGGGAGGAGTCTCATCCCCTTCCCCAGGGGACTTTGGTGGGAGCCCAGGGTACTTAGGAGCCCAAGTAACGACCTGACACCAGCAGGACCTCCAGGCTGCCTACACAGCCCTTCCTGTGGTACCCACTGGCCACTGCACCAGGACAGCCACCCTGTCTGCATGGTGTTCTGAAGCCAAACTGGCAAAGCTGGGGGGAGACAGCTCCAGGACACCTCACCATCCCCAGAGAGACTCTAATGGGCTGGCTTTTCAGTCCATGTGCCTGTTGAACCTGCCAACCACAGCCTCAACAGGCCGATGGGGTACTTCAGACCCAGGCTTGATGCTCACGAGGTGACAGGTGGGACTAGAGGAAAAGACCAGAGCAGCAGCCTTTTTAAGAGGCTGAGCTCATGCTGGGGGGCTGCAGTAGGGCACAGAATGCCCAAGGGACTACCAGGTCCGCAGCCCTGAGACCCCTCCTGACATGAGGGGCCGAGTGGCCTTTCCCACCCTCCAGGGCTAGGCTTTGTGACTCCACCTGGCTTCCTGCTCTGGTATTAATGGCCCATGAGGGCTCAGACAGGAGGAGGCTGTGTCTTCCTGCCTTCTTAATGTACCGAAATGCACCGAGTTACCGCAAACCTGATAACAGAGCTGTCAGTCAGGGAAGAAAAGGAAGGACAGGAGCTGCAAATGTCTCTGTGAGCGACCCCCTCCTTCAGAGGGGCTGGAGTCACCAGAAGAGGGCCCAGGGCCTGGCAAGGCAGCCCACAGACCCAGGATACTCGCTTCTACTGTGGTGTGTCCCTTGTCCTCCCCACTGCATTCCTCTGCCCAGCCTCCTGAGGCACAGTGGGGACATCATGGCCAAGGTGGGCACAGGGAGTCCTGGTAAGTCTTTCATCCTTGCCCTGGGTGTCCACCTCCACTGAAGCAGCACACATAGCAGAACAGATCTGTATGGGGCTGCTGCCTCCTGGTGGGCACAGACAAGCCCTACAGCCCTTCTGCATGCAGCAGGGGCAGCACAGCACCTCCAGGCTCTAAGTGGGGCCTCAGACACCACTGGAAGTCCCTCAGGCAGGAAAGGAAAGGGAGGATGGCCGACTTCATAACCGGTAATTTTCTGGAGGTCACTGGGTCAGATAGTAGGCTGTAGGCCTCTGCCATGCAGGCTCCTACCACAGGTTGCAGCAGCCCTGGCCAGGGCAGAACCTTCCCTATGCCACCTTGTCAGCCAGGCACGGAGCCAGCTTCAGGCAAACTGGCTGGACTGCCGAATGGGAGCAGGCAGGGGCCTTTGTTCAGGGGTCTGGTCAGCCCCAAGCTGTCTTGGACCTGTAGTAACTGCAGGAGCTGCAGGCACCTTCCATGACTCCGATGCCCCTGGTGACCTGGCCAGGGTGTGGGGACCCAAGTCTCCCATCAAAGTAGCAAGGGGGCACGAAGGTGCTGGAGGGCTTCGTCCCATGGACAGCAGCAGCTGCTAGGGCCTGCACAGCCTTGTTCCAGAGGATGCTGTGGCTGTCACACTTCAGGCGCTCACTGTACTCAGCTGGCCTTGCCTCTGTTTGAACACAATGTCTTGCACCAAGCTACATCACTAGTTCCCACCCTTTTTTTAATTTTTAATTTTGAGTCTTGCTAAGCTGCTTGGGCAGGCTCAAACTTGTGATCCTCCTGCCTCAGCCTCCCAAATGCTGGGATTGTGAGTGTGTGCCACTACAGCTGGTGGCTGACCTCTCCTTATCGTCCCAGGTGGGCTCCTGTCTACTCAGTGAGGGTTTGTGCAGTGTCTGCGCTGGCCTTAGTCACACCCTCGTTGTGCTAAATCCTGATAGGTCAGGTTCCTCTGCTCACTTTACCACCCACTAGGGATTTGGGGTTGGCACACAGATATGGTCACTCAGGGCTCCTGAGTGGCCTCCACTGCTGGGGTCCCGTCCCCACCCGACAGAGGCCCTCCCACTTTGACTGCTGATCGTGACTGTCCACATGACTGCATTTAGAAACAATCAGCAGGCAGATGAGTGAAGTGCATTCTGGGTGGCCTATGGGATTACCAGGATGACTGGCAAGCAGACCAGCAAACTGAAGAGAGACCCACCCCTGCGGTGGGCAGCTCCAAACTACAGGCCTATAGCCTGGCTAGGAAAACAGAGAGAGGAGAGGAAGCTGGTGCACCCTGACAAGAGCTTTGTCCTTTGCTGCCGTGGCCTTCGGACTCCAGTTCTCCAGCCTCTGATGAACACACCCCAATGACTCTCCAGGGAGCATCCAACCCTTCAACCTGGGACTGGCACTGTGTCCTCCGTCCCTTTTGCTCTGTGGCTCCCATCATGGACTGAGCAGCTCCTGGATCCTTTGGTTTTCGTGTGCAGATGGCCAAGTGGACACTCCTGCTTCCGCTGCTCTAAGCTCCCTAGTAAATCCCTCACATAATGATAAACATACTTTTTGCTGATTCTGCTCCTCCTGACAATCCTAAGGATACGCCCATGCTCCCTCCCCTGGCCCCTGCCAGTTCTGGAGCTACCCCACTCACACATGCTTCTGGCTCAGCAGTTGGCTCCATACCTCTACCACAAAGCCATCAAAGTGCTGGTTCTGAAAGAAACGGCAGCAGGTAAGGAACAACAGGGACCCAGGAGGGACAGGAAGACAGACCTGCCTAGCAAAGTCACAATCCTGTGCTGCCCAAAACTCTGGAGAGGCAGTGTGGGGCACGCATGTACATTTGCCTCGAGTTCCGCTGCCCCTGCAGGCCAAGTTGCAAGCAGCTGTGGCAACTGGCTTCTCCAAGGAGGGCAGTGGAGCTCTGGTCAAGGACACAGTCACCCACTCTTAGGACTCCCAGATAACCTCTGGGGTCAAGATAGAGAGTGTGGCAGCTGGACCCAGGCTGGCATTGTCTTCAGTGGAAGACATGGGCTTGGCCAGGTGTTCAACAGGAAAGCCAGGCAACAGGAGCTACTAAAGCCCTGTGAGAGTACCAGCCAGTGGGGAAGCAGGAAGTGGGGTCCCTCAAGGGAGAGGCAGGGTTCCTTCAAGGGAGAGGCGGGCTCTGTCCAGGGAGGTGGGGTCTGGAGGCTGTGCTGAGGAGCCCCACCTACACTCAGAGGCCAAGACACCCACATGTTTCACCTTTGCCACCTGAACCACAGTCTTGCTGAGCTCTTCTATCTCATCCTCACTGTCCAAGACGTTCCGGAAATCATCGTAAGTCCAGTCCTCAAATAGAAGACGAGGCACTGGGGGTTGGGGGCAGGGACACAGAGGTTGCAACAGAGAAACCCCAAATTACCCCCTCCTCTGCTTCTTGGCCCCCAAAAGGTGTCCCCTTGTCTCCCAGAGCAGAATAAGAATGGAGACAGACAGAGATACCATTCAAGATGGCTACAGGTCCAGTAGAGACACTCATACCAGTGCAACCTGGGCAGAGAGACCTATCAGGGAGGAATCATACTGATAGCCTTCCTCATTAGTCTTCTAGGAAGGGACTGGGCCACACCCTGGCTCTCTGCTCCTGGCTGCCCACGTTGTCTGCAGCATCCCCACCCTCTGTCTAACCAGAGTATCCCCACACGCTCCCAAGTCCTGGCCCAGACCCCACAGCCTCAGGGAGGGCTCTGAGCCAGTGGCAGGCATGCATCTCAGCCCCACGTCTGTCCCCGACCACACAGTCCCTGCTGCACAGGCTCCCACTGCAGGTGAGATGCATGCCCTCCACCAGGCAGGGCCAGCCTCATGCTCAGGTCCGGCCTGGTGCCAGCCCCAGGGAGCTAAGAAGTGCTTGTGAGACTGATGAAGAAGAAATAGGAAGGAGGAAAAAAAAGAAAGAAAGAAAGAAAGAAATGGGAAGGAGAACAGGACGGGCCCTGGTGGCCATCACCCATGCAAATCACACCGAGCCCAGACTTGGTCAGAGGGATTAGGAGAGGGACCTGCACTTGGGCATCTTGAGAGTGCCTCAGGGCCACGCCCACCCCAACGGGCAGTGCCACCTCCACTGAGGCTGCAGGACTCACCAATGTGCAGATTCTTGGCATGTTTCCTCACAGCTCGCATCCAACCTGTGGGGCGTGGAGGGGACAGTGAGGGTTAGAGCAGGTGCCCAGCCCATCCAAGGAGGAAAACTGTCAGAACGGCAGGTGTCGACAACACTCAAGTGGAGCTGAGCCAGAAGGGAGAGGAGGCCAGAGGGAGAACCCCTCTCCACTGACCCTGGCACAGTGCTCCACAGCTGCTCTTGCTGGCCATACCCTCCTCCAGACTCTTCAGGGGCTCTGAGCTCACCTTCCCTCTCCCAGCACCAGAGATGGTCTGAGCCAGGACAGCACCTGACCAGAGTGTTGTGGCTCTGAGCGGAGGGGCAGCCAGCACGCACCAGGCCTTCCCTGACACACTGTCCTCTCCCACAGTCTTCATGGTATCAGGAAACCACTCCTCATCACAGAACTTCAAAACCTGCTGCTGAGGCCTGGGTCCTATAACCTCTAGCACAGCACAGCGTCCCCTCTGGACACTGAGTAGCAGAAGTTGCTAAGGAAGGACGTCCCCTCTGGACACTGACTAGCAGAAGTTGCTAAGGAGGGACAGAGGAGACCACGCCAAGGTCTGAGTCCTTTATTGCTCAGGAATATTCCACATTCTACGTGCAAGGGAAGTCCTGACACAGGTCCCAGATCCCTAGTCACCTCCTCCCTGCCCATCCTCCCTGCTCCCCTGGCAGCCACACTATAGTGTCACGCTAGGCTGTGTGTGCTGGTGAGGAAGCAGGCTGCACTCGTCACAAACCCACAGCTGCAGTCACACTCGATATACTCAGTCACATACTCTCAACAGTCATCCTAGCTCCATACGCCCCTTCCCACACTCACAGATGCACACACTCATCTCAGCCAAAGAACCAGCAGATGGGAGGAAGGGCAAGCACCTTGGTCCACGTCATGGAGGCCTGTGATCTCGAACATCTCCCGGCCACGCCTCTTCAGCTGTAGCCAGACGGGTGAGATCTGTGTGAATTTGCTCCCAAAGACCTTGGCCATGTCATAGCCATGGCTGTTCCACTGGCAGGGGAGACAGCACATTAAGCAGGTGAGTTTGTCTCTGCTTTGTCACTATGTTACCACCCTGGCTGTCCTACACATGCATGCCTGGGCCAGCTGGCTGGTGCAGACAATGCTTAGCCTGGGCAGATGATAGCTCCTGCCTGGGGTGCCCTCCTTCTGCTTTGGAGACCTGCTGGGACAGCCACCTCAGCCTGGGATCCTGGCCCTGTCCCCTCACCAGGGATGATTGTACTCATCTATCCAAGTCTCATCCTGAGCCAGCCCCCCTAGCATGGTCACACGGCCTGAGAGTCCCCTAGACTCAACTCAGGGGGCATCTGCAGCCACGAGACGTGAGGTCCAGAGAAATCCTAGTACCCTTCATCCCACCGTCTCCACGACAGCACCTCTTTCTGCAGTCTCACAGCAGCAACAGCCCAGGGAGATCAGCACATGGGAGGTGGCCAGCACTATGGTGGGGCCAGACTCACGGGTGTGATGTAGCCCAGGACATCCCCAGCCAAATTCCTCTCCCGTGCCTTCGAGGAGCAGTAGCTGCGATGTTCAAGAACCACATCTTCTGCTTTGAGGTCTGTCACCACCAGACCACGCTCTTGGACAGGCTTATCTGAAAGCTGTGTCTGAAATGCAGGAAAGGGAGGAAGCAGTCAGTGTACATGCCCTGCATGGTGGAGTGTGCTGGTTCTGCTGCAGCTCATGTCCCTGGGTCCACACGGCAGGAACAGCCTGGAGACCTGGCACAGGGAGGACAAGGCCGCAGGGCCTTAGGTCCTATAGCTGGCTGGGAAAGATGGGCTGGAAGAGCACCACTCCTGCATTCACAGTGTAGGTAGACAATGGCAATGCTGGTGATCGTTTCCACCCTCTTTTTTCCCTTCTATTGGTCCTGGTACAGAACCCAGAGCCCTGCACACCCCAAGTAAGTGCTCTGCCACTGGGCTCCGTCCTAGCCCTTTGAGCTCACCCTTCTCAGGGCCACTCAGACCACACAGTGCAAATCTGGGCACTGAAGGCTGCACCTCTTGAGAACATGCTGGCCCGTGCAGCCCCACCTGCCAACTCCACCTACACTCCTATCTGTGACCTCCCCTATGAACCTGCCTCCCCTACCCAGACTCTGAAGTCCTTAACCTGCCATTCTGTGCAAGGTCCAAGGCCCAGTTCTGACTCCCCAACACTGCCCGCACCTTACCCACAGAGCCCTTAAAAGACACAGACACCCACTGTGTGGCTCCCCATCCAAGGCAGGAAGAGTTCTGACAGCTTGGCTGGCAGCATGGGGACTACAGGGTCAAAGGTAGGCTGGACTGGGCCCCTGCCTCAAGTTACAATCCCTGGAGACACCAGAGGGACAGCACAGGGCCACAGTACAAGCTTGCATTAGAGAGGTAGTATGGGTGACACAGGAAGCAGGACTAAAGCAGGCACAGCAGACAGCAGCTGAAACAGGAGACAGACCACATGACGAGAGGGTATTACTGAGCAAGCTGCCACATTCAAACATGGTTCTGCGTGCTCAGAGGCATGGTGGCTAGATGCCAGAGCTGCCTAGGCCACTGGCCAGCTGCCACCCACTGGCCAATTAAGTGCAGCTTGTCCAGCAGCCCATCTGTTGGTCTGGCTCAGTCCTAGCCAAGTGGGAGACAGAAGAGCTCACCTCAACTCCCCAGGCATCCTACCTTCTCCAGCAGTGTCTTTGAGGCAGCCTTTTTGGCATCTGACTTTGACAAGGTAGCACGAACAGAACCCCAAATCAGAGCAAGCCCAAGCACAGGGAAGATGGGGAGGAGCATCCGCATGGTGGGCAGTCACAGAACAGTCAGCCTCCAGGGCCAGGCGGCTGCAGAGAGAACAGAACACAAGGACAGCTGACTGCAGGGATACATGGTGTGGCCAGCGTGTGTGTGTGTGCGCACGCGCGCGTGTCCCACTGAAGCCAGCAGTAGGGTCTGGCCCTTGGTTCCTGGAACCAGGCCTTGCCCTGTGCCAGTCCTGGTGACTAGAGTCATCTCCAGCACCAGCAGCTCCTCTCAGGTACCAGACAGCTTTGTCACCACTGGCCACAGAGCCACTCCCAGCTGCCAAAGTTGCCCACCGTCTAGGAAAAGGCTGGCTCTACTTCCCCTCAAACCCAAGGAAAACAATGGAGCCACATAAAGTTCCAGAAAAAACTGTGAAGACCTATTTACATACTCTTAGGGTAGGGAAGACTTTTCCCACTGTTACCAGCATGGGAGAGGTTATGAAAGAAAATAACCCCAAAGTTTACCACATAAAAATGTAAAACTTTCTGGGCGTGGTGGCTCATGCCCATAATCCCAGAACTCAGGAGGCTGAGGCAGGAGGATCGTTGTGAGTTCGAGATCAGCCTGGGGTACAAAGTGAGCTCAAGGCCAGCCTGAACTGCACAGCGAGACTCTGTCTCAAAAAGAAAAAAAAAAAAAAAAAAAAAAAAAGTAAAACTTGACTGAAGATTTAGCTCAGTGGCTCAAGCAATTGCCTGGTAAATGTGAGGTTATGAGTTTGATCCCTGGTACAAACAAAACAAAACAAAACAAAACAAAAAAACCCAAAACAAAACAATGTAACACTTGCAAAGCCAGGCACAATAGCACATATTGGTACTGTCAGCTACTCAGGAGGCTGAGGCAAAAGAATCACTTAACTCCGAGTTCCAGGGCAGCCTGGGCAACAAAAAGTAAAATTTTTCTGTTTGACAGTGGCAACTTGCTCTGTGGCACACTCTTCTCCATGTGGTCTGACACCTGTGACAGCTGCCATCTGCTATGCCTACTTCTGCTCCTGCAGCCTGTGTCAGTATGTAATTCAGGCTGGCCTTGAACTATGCAACCCAGGTTGGCCTGAAACTTGAGTGATCCTCCTGCCTCAGCCTCTCAAGACCTGGAATTACATGTGTGTGCTACCATATCCAGCTAATAAAAAACTTTCACTTTGGAAACAAAGTGAAATTTAAAAGCAATAGGAAATTTAAAAGCAAATAATAAGTCAGAAATTATATATTTAAAACATACCCGACAATGGGTTTCTATCCATCATCTACCTATGATATAAAAAAATTACAAATCAAGAATAAGATAACCAAGAATAATCGTATATCTCTCTAATCTTAGCATTCTGGGAGGCTGAGGCAGAAGATTGCAAATTCAAGCCCAGTAACTTAATAAGAAACTGTCTCTTAAAATAAAAATAAATAAAGGAGATGATAAAATTCTATGCAAAAGGGGCTGAGGATTTAGCTCAGTGGCATTAAGTGCCTGCCTTGCAAGGGCGCAGTCATGAGTTCAATCTCGGGAACAAAAAGCAAAACAAAACAAAACAACCAACTCTATGCAAAGACCCTGAGTTTAATCCCAAGTGCTAAAAAGGAAAAAAGAAAAAGAGGAGAAGGAGAGGAAGAATACAAGAAGGAGGAGGAAGAGGAGGAAGACGGAGTAGAGGAGGAAAAGACAAACACCTCCGTGAAAAATGTTCCACTAAAAAATAAGAAAGGGGCCAGGAATTTAGCTCAGTGGCATAAGCACCTGCCTGGAAAGCACAAGGTCGTGAGTTTGATCCTTGGTACTAAAGAAAAAGAAAGACAGAGAGAGAATGAGAATGGACCAGGCATGGTAGTGCACATCTGTAATCTCAGCACTTGGGAAGCTGAGGCAGGAGGATTGCTACTAGTTCAAGGTCAGCCTGGACTACACATTGAGATCAAGGCAATGTATTAAGGCAAGGATTATGAGCTAGGGATAGTGGCACATACCTGAAATCCCAGCTACTAAGAGGGCTAAAGGAGAAGGGTCTCAAGTTCAAAGCCAGCACAAGCAGCTCATCAGACTATCACCAACAAAAAACATTAGAAGGACTGGGATGTAGCTCAGTAGCAGAGCCACTTGCCTAGCACATGAGACTTGGGGTTCAGGTCCTAATACTCCAGGGGGCAAAAGGAGGTACAACATAATCTGGCACTGAGAGCCCCAGAAATGAGCAGCTCAGCTTCACCCAGTTACACCACTCTGAGCACAGAGGGATGGGCAGACGAGGGGCGGCTGGCAACACCTCTCAGGCTGAAGGGACCCGAGCTAGGAAGAGCTTTGCCAGGGAGTCTGGTCACAAACATCTCACTGTCCAAGCTGTACTTCTTGTGTTCTCCAGCTGCATGCTGGCCTCCACACAGGAACCAAGCATGGGACCAGACACCTCTCTTGGAAGCGCCTGCCTTGCAAGTGTACAGTCATGAGACACTGACACTGCGGGTACTGCACACAGAAGGCTCTGTTATGCTCATGACCATACTGGACGAGGCAAACATCACAAAACTGCATTTATGCAGCACAGCCCTGTTTCTATATCGGTATACCCACATGGAAAGGTATACAGGGTGAGGTCTCCTGCACCCAGCTGTAAAGCCAGCTATTCAGGAGGCTGAGGCATGTTCAAGGCCAGCCTTGTCTCAAAAAGGGGGCGGGCTTAGGCTGTAGTTCAGTGCCCCAGCCTCAATTGCTGGCACCCCTAAAACTATGTAATGAAGCTAAAAATAAGCTGGGCATCAGGAATTATTATCATTTCTTCTCTTTTATCTGTACATTCTGGTTTTTCTGTACTGAATTTCCTTCCTCTACTCCTGTGCTGGCAATTGAACCCAGGGCTTTGGCACCAAGCGATATTTCCAGTTATTTTTATTTACTTTTATATTGAAATTGATAAATTGCCCAGGCTGGGTTCAGACTTATAATCCTCTTGCCTCAGCCATCCATGGTGCTGGGTTACAGATATGCAGCACCATGCCCAGCTGCCCTGAACTTCTATTAGTGATACAGTTCATTTTCAGAGTCCAGGCAATTCTGCCTCTGCTTTGCACTCTCTGAAGGCAGGTGGGCAACAAGCACAGCCCAGCCAAGCTATGTCCTCTAAGCCCTCAAGTCATCAGGTGTACGGAAGCCTGTCACCTAGACTGACATCCCTGGTGCTCAGCTGCAGCCCAACTACGGGACCCACAGAGCCCAGGCACAGGTGGCAGAGTCATAGGCACCTCTGAGGACACTGGGACCAGGCCTGGTTGACCTGGTCAGGAGATGCCAGAGCCCGGGTCCCACCCCATTTCATTGTCATTTCCCTGGGTAAGACCTGGCCCCCAAAACATCCCCCACACACTAGTGAAGTGGCAGGCACTTGACTCTGGCAAATTACAGGACAGGCTGCTTCCAGGCTGAGAAGCTGAGTCAGGAAAGAAACATGCAGCTGTGTAGAACAGCACCATGCTCAGGCCAGGACAGCAACTGTTTCAGAGCCAGGGCACACCTGGGAGTAAGATACATGCAAACCACAGCCCCTACAGGCCCAGTGCCCTCCCCACTGGACCCTCTCCAGCATCAGACTCTGAATCAAGGGGCCTCCCACCCTTCCCCTAGCCCAGAGTCTCACTGTGGTGACTCGGAGCTTGGTCTGGGTGGTTTATACCCCCAGGGGTTTGGCAGTTCTGGCCACAGGATAGGTAATAGGTGGCTGGCCCACAATCACCTGCAGCTTGCCTGGCCATGCAGAGACTGTGGCTTCCTCAGTCCCTTCCAGGACTACAGATTCCTTCTTTCCCGAGTGATGTGGGTCACAAAGTATGAGAAACTATACAGGGAGAGTCCCCAGGGAGTGGCCCAGGAGTGACCTGAAGGGGTGCCTGGGTGTCCACCCTCCTAGAGCCCCACTGACAACCCTCAGTCTCCAACTTCCAGGTAGAGGAAGTGGAGGGAGCTTGTCTGGACACGTGGGGGGGGGGGGACAGTGGCCTGTCTGCTTCTGAATCTGGCAGGGAAGCACCAGAAGGGCAAGATGAGGCCCAAGGCCAGGGCTGGGGCTGTCACTGACCACCCATATCCAGAAGTCTGCCTACAGGACAGAGCCCTGGGATGCAGGATACTCCAGAGTGCTAGGCTCCACTTTCCAGACCAACTGCCAGGACAGTGTGTGATGTGTATGACATGAGGGGAATTCAAGCCAGCTTTCCATCGTTCTCTGCAGGTAGCTGATTCCTGGGCTCTAACATTGTTCTTGCATCAAAATGTGTTTTCTCCAAATACCAGTGACACTCCTTTGGGCAGAAAGGCCTGTACAGAGTATAATGTGTTGTGACATTGCAAACCACATCTCAGAACCTCTTTCTAATCACGCTTCATAACAAACCACGACAGTAGGCATTGTGGCATATGCCTGTAATCCCAGCACCTGGCTGGTAAGGCTGAGGCAGGAGGATCCCTGCAAGTTCAAGGACAACTGAACTACAGAACAACACTGTCAGAAACAAAAAAAAAACCCCAAAAAACAAACAAACAAAAAAAAACTGGCTGTGATGGCATACGCCTGTAATCTCAGCACTCAGGAAGCTGAGGCAGGACGACTGCTGTGAGTTCAAGGCCAGAGTGGGCTACAAACTGAGTTCAAAGCCAGACTGAATTAGAGTGAGACTCTGCTTCAAACATAACAAAAAACCTGTCCAGGGATTTAGCTCGTGGCATAAGTGCCTGCCTGACAAGCATGAGGTTGTGAATTTGATCCCTGGTACACAAACAAACAAACAAACAAACAAACCATAAACGAGCTAACAAGCAAAGGACACAGTTGGTACTCTTCTGGGACTGAGTCTCACAGCACTGGGGACTGTCTTATTAGGGCTGATGAAATGTAAACCCATTCCACGCCAACTCGCACTAAGAAATGGGCATGCAGAGAGAAAGAAGCTGACATGAACTAACCCTTCTTGGGGACGCATGCTAATTTTCACCAAGAATTGGTTCCTATCCATTCCTGAGCTCTCCCAACTTTGGTACAATGTGATCTGAATGCTGATATGTGCCTGGGCCTCTGTCACTGAGGCCACCTGCTAGGTGCCTGTCTTTTCTTGCAGGGTTAGGGTCTGAACATCTGCATGGCAGGCAAGTGCTCTACCAGAGCCACTTGTTCAGACCCTGGGCTGACTTTGTCATCAGAAAAGCTGCTCTTACGGCAAGCAGAGCGCTTGTCTCACGTCTGTGGTCACCTCTGAGCAGACCTTGGTCACTGTGGAGCCAACCACTTTCTTGTAGTGACAGGTATGTCTTCTCAGAAACGAAGGTGAAACGGCAGACAGAAATCGCAAGCCCAGGTGATGTTTACTGACTTGTGTGTTGTGCATCGGCCTGGTGCTGCCCACAATTTTCTCCACAGCCCGAGGCATGGTCACCCCAAGGATGAGGTGACTGACCCAGCGGGCAGCCCGCCTGGCACTGAGGCACATGGCCATGGTGTTATACCAATTTCACCGCGCAGTGGAAACAGGACTGCAATGAGATGGAGCAAGGTCCAGTTCTGTCACCGGCCTGCTGTTCCCTGACCTCTCTGGGCTTCAGGATAGAGACCTGAGAAGCAAGGGGCAGGCGAGGTGCCCTTTCAGCGTGAAGCCTCCACCTGCGAAGAGGGGGACACCCGGGGCCTCGCCCGTGCCCTCCTTCCCGGGACCTGCAGGCCACCACCAAGCACACTAGTCGCACTCATGCTCCGCACCAGTTCCCACGCAGGCCTCCAGGATTCGCTCTCTCTCACTGCACGCCGCCGGTCCGCACACGCCTTCTGCCACAGCACACTGGCTCCGGCCTGAGTCTCGTCGCGCTTGCTCCTCCACACTCGTACCCACTAGTTCGCACTCATGCGAGTTCACGCAACTCTACCCTTCCTCGCTCCCACACTCACGCTCTCACACACCTCTCCGCATGCCGTCCCTCCGGCCCCCACACGCGAGCCTGCCCAGCGAGGCCCACGCCTCTCGCCCATCAGGTCCTCCGCTGAGCCTCGCCGCTCAGCGCGCCCACCCCGAGGCGGGAAAGTCGAAGCATCCACAGGAGGCGGGGCGAGGCGGCCGCCCACAGCTCACCTTCATGTCCGGAGGCCGCCCGAAACCCTACCGCTCGACCGGAAGATGCAACAGCCCTCCGGAAGTCCCGCCTACAGCCAGCCGCTCCCGCTACGCCAACTTCCGCCCGCCACGCTTGGCACACTGGACGGGGGGTGGGGCCTGCAGAGCTGAGGCCCGGGCCTGTGGGCGGGGCTTGCGCGACGCTGCCTCCGATGGGTCCTGGTCGCTTAGCCCCTGCTAAAGCAGGGGTCGGTTGTGTACCAGGGCATGTGACCTGGACATCGCAAATCCTGCGCGTCTGACATCCAGGCTCTCCTTTCTTGCTTCGGTGCCGCAGGTCGAGGCAGCGGGAACCTGGAGGCAAACAAGACCCGGACATCATCTCAGGCTCCCGGAAGGAGTGCGGCGGCCTAGCGCGATGGAATACGCGCGTCGCCACTTCCCAGTCTCCGGCAGCCAGACCCCACCTCACTCCCCTGCTGTTCCCGGCAGCTTCCTGCAGAAACCTCAGGGCCGGTACCCACCCACCCGCTTTCCAGGACCAGTTCCCCGTTTCTGCTACCTCAGAGGCTTGGCTACTAGGGAGTTCTGGTCGCTCTAACACGTTTCCCTCTTTCTCTTCCTTAAATTTCTGCCAGCAGTGCCCCAGTCTTTCCAGAGGGGCTGGGCTTGTAGGGTGAGACTATCTACTTTGCCGGCATCCAGCTCAGCACCTCACTGGTGGCAAGTGGCCCAGGTGGTGACCCCTAGCAGAGTTCTGGAGAGAGCCCTTGAGCTGTACATGGCGTCCTGGGAGTGCAGTCACTGAAATGGGAAAAGCGTTATCTTGTCTAGAGTCCCCTCAAGGTCTGAGTTTTTTGAACTAAACAACAAAATCCACTCTGGATGTACCGCACTCTGCAGAGTCCCTCCGGGCATAGCTAGAGGTCAGCTGAGTTGCCATCACACAGTTGGCACCAAAGGCCCTCAGGTCCTTGGGCTGAAAGTGATTTCTATCAGCCACAGAAGTCGGAGAATGTCAAGAAGTAAGCCCCAAAACCCTGAGACCAGGGCCTTTACCATTTCTATACTGAGTGAACCCTGAACACAGATGTGTTTCATATTCAGGTTTCTGGAGCCTCTAAGGTAACTTGAGGTTTAGTTTACTATTTTTAATCTCTTTGAGTTGTTGAGATTTCTGAGACTTTGTCATCAAATAGAAAGTACGGGACAAAGGATACTTAATAAACATAGATTAAGTTTGGCTGGGCATGGTGGTTGAGGCTGGAGCCCTAAAAGTCCAGAATGAAATGGGGTTTTGAATTTATATGTTTAATAAATTGACCCTAATGATTTGTATTTAATATATGTCTTGAGTGTCACCACCTTGCCAGGTCCTATGCTGGGCTTCAGCACCATCACCAGTTTCTGCCAGGACTGTGAGGGGTGCCCTGACTAAGACTGAGCTGATCCCAGCCAGGGCTGCCTCTGAGGCTGTCCTGCTTTCTCTGCCTGCTTAGAGACAGGCACAGCCACTGTGCACAGAAGGGACCTGCAGTTTCAAGCATTTCTGCTGCTGACTGAAATCCTGCTTTTGCTTTGGGTTGACACGCCCTAGTGCACCTGGCTAGCAAGGTACCTGCCTCTTGGGGATGGCCTCAAGGCCTCCCTAGATGTCTAAGCCCCCCCAGCTGTGACTGACACCCCGGGAAGGGCTTGTTTCTTCCTTGGGCTGGCCAGTGCCCTGGGTGGGGTAAGGGTAGGGCCCTTACAGATGGCCCTGGGCTGTTCCTCATTTGCCAAGTCAGCACAGACAAGGCTCTTCCTGACAGTAACAGGAAGACCCGTGGCAGACCCGTGACTTGCCCTATTCTAAGGAGAGGCCTTGGCCAGGGTCAGAAAGCAGCACACAGGCCTTGACTGCTGACTGTGTCCTGTCTACCCTGGCCTGGGGACATTCCAACTTAAGAGACCGGAAGTCATTTCTATATGGAGCCCACCCACCCCTGTGGTCACATATCCTCCCTGGGTGCTGGGATAAGCAAATCCAAGAGAGCTGGAAGCAGGAAGTTGGATGTGCACATGCAGGGACGGCCAGGATGGAGCTGTAGAACCAGCACAGCAGGTTCTGTTCTGTTACTTATAAGGGCCCTGCTGGCCTTGGCCTTCGTGAGGCCTGTTTAGAGGAGTCTGGTCACAGCCGGTGGGTGTAGAGCCCCAGAGCAGGTGTCAGAGGTGGTGTGTGCCCATTCTTGGCAGTAGATCTGCCCTCTGTGCATTCGCTCTGCCCACTGTGCACTAGCTCTTCCCTCTGTGCACTAGCTCTGCCCACCATGTAATGGCTCTGCCCTCTGCGTTCCTCTGTCCTTTGTGCACTAGCTCTGCCCACTGTGCACTAGCTCTGTCCACTGTGCACTAGCTCTTCCCTCTGTGCACTAGCTCTGCCCACTGTGTACTGGCCCTGCCCTCTGTGCATTGGCTCTGTGCGTACTAAGGCTTCAAGCACAGCTTTCCTCTTTTCAACATCCTGCAAACTCAGAATCTTGAAAACCAAGGAGATGGGGCTGGATGTCTGGCATCCTGTGAATGTGAGCTTATTTGTTAGGTGGGTCCTTGCAGATGTGCTTATGTTAAGGATGTTGAATAGGATCATCTTGGATCAGGAGAGGCCCTAAATCCAATGAGCAAGGTCCCCTGAGAAGAAGGAGAGACAAGACACTGGTAAGAAGGCCATGCAAGTACAGGGGCATAGATGGGGGTCCAGGGCACCAGGGACACTGACAGCTAGTGCAGGGCCTGGAGGAGGGTCCCCCTTTCAGCCTCCAGGAGGACTCTTAGATTCTGCACTTCTGCATTCTCCAGAATATGAGGAATAAATTTCTGCTGTTTGTAAGCATCTGGTTTGTAGTCGCTTATCATATCGCCCAGGAAACTCACTGTGCTCTGTTGAACAGTGCTATGATATTTTTGGTCAGTTGCTTCCTTTCCTGAAACTTTCTCAGACCAGTCTTAAAACAGAGATGTCCAGGGGCTGGGGATTTAGCTCAGTGGCATAAGCGCCTGCCTTGCAAGCAGGCAGTCGTGAGTTCGATCCCTGGTACTGATAAAAAGGAAAAAGACAAAAAAAAAAAAAAAAAAAAAAAAAAAAAAAAAAAAAAAAAAGACATGTCCCAGTGTACCCCGGTGGGGCCCCAAAAGAAAGAAGCTGGGGCTGAAGGCCACGGGTGGAGTGGGTGCCAGCCAAAACAGGATGCTTGCTACTTAACACCTCAGGCCAGTGCATGGCCAGGCTGCTATAGGGGGTCCAGGGACACGAGGCCACGTATTCTTCTGTGGGACAGAGAAGTCAGCAGACTGAGGAGGGCTAGGATTTCAAAAGCCACTGCACCAGTACCTCTCTGGCTGGTGTCACCTGCTGTGTTGCTCCTTGGTTCTTGATGGTTGATAATGCTGCTAAGACTCAGGGAAAAACTGGTCTTGTGGCCCACACCTGTAATCCCAGAACTCTGGAAGGCTGAGGATTGCTGTGAGTTCAAGGCCAACTTGAGCTACATAGTAAGTCTGTACCTCCACAAACAAACAAAAAACACTGAGGGAGAGGATGTGAAGTGATTCTGATAGCAAGACCTGAGCGCATAGGGTACCTCCCGGCATAGCTCAGACTCAAGTCCCCCAAAACTGAATGACAGCCCCATGTTCTTGGAGTACATCCTCAGGCGTGGTATCAGGTGTTCATTAGGATGCAGGTTTGCCTGGGATAACAGTTCTCAACAACAGTGGTATAGGCAGCAGCTGTTCTAGGCTGGCATGGTAGCAGATGGCATGCTTGTTCTTATGGGCCACAGCGTAATTCCCTATATCAAACTGAAGTTTCCTAGTAACCATCCCTTTGGAGGCTGAGGCAGGAGGATGGTGAGTTTGAGAACCTCAGCAACTGAGCAAGATCTGGTTTCAAAAAACAAAGCAATTCAGGTTCCTAGGAGGGGTGAAAGGGGGACCAAGGACTCAAAATCATGTCCTCCAAATAGTACCTCTGTTATGGGGTGATTTGTTTCTCTTCAAAAATCCTCACCTTGAGCTGGAGATTTAGCACAGTGGCATAAATGCCTGCCTGGCAAGTGCGAGGTCATGAGTTTGATCCCTGGTACCAAAAAAAAAAAAAAAAAAAAAAAAGTCCTGACCTCAAACTGAATCTAGTGACATACCTGTAATCCCAGCTCTTGGGAAGCTGAGGCAGGCGGATCACCATGCATTTGAAGCCAGCCTGGAATACACAGTGATTTCAAGGCCAACCTGAACCACAGAGTGAGAATGTCACAAACCAAGTCCTGACTTCAAAACATGCTTTCTTAGTAGTGCTTCAGTACTTAGGAGGCCTGCAGAGCACCAGGAACAATGCACAGTGAATGCAGTGTTCTGGTTGAGTGTCGAGTCACAGGGTAATAGGGACTAAAATATTCGGTGCTCTACTCGGCACATCAAGTACCACACAAATGAGTGTACTGGGACAAATTTCCACATCAGGATACACGGAGTATCAATTTCTGTGAGGCTCAAAGCGGTCAAGTATCGAGGTATAACTATATTTGGGAATAGGACTAGGGAGATGTGATTAGTTCAAATGAGGCCACTAAAGTGACCCTAATCCTATGTTTGTATGTTTCTGGCACTAGGGATCGAACCAGGACCTTCACAGTGAGCTACATTTCCAGCCTTTCTATCTCTCTCTCTCTCTCTCTCCCTCTCTCTCTCTCTCTCTCTCTCTCTCTCTCTCTCTTTCGCTCATTTTGAGACAAGATTTTGTTCAGTTACTCAGGCTCGACTCCTACTCACAGTCCTCCTGACTCAGTCTTCCAGAGTGCTAGGACTACAGGTGTGTGTCACTGCACCCAGCTTTTTATTTATTTATTTATTTATTTTTGTGGTACTATTGATTGAACCCCAGGGTTGATATGTTCTAGGCAGGCAATTATCTGCTGAGCTACATCCTCAGTCCCCTTTAAATTTTTTTTTTTTTTAAGTTTTGAGATGTTCTAATTTGCCCAGGCTGGTCTAAACTTTGCAGTCCTCCTGCCTCAGCCTCCCATGTAACTGGGATTAGAAGCATGTGCCACAACATTTGACTATGATGGTGTTTTTTCTTTCTTTCTCTCTCTTTTTTTTTTTAAAGACAAGACCTTGCTATATAGTTCAGGCTATCCTTGTACTCACTTTGTAGCCCAGACTGGTTTTGCACTTACCACGATCCTCCTGTCTCAGCCTCCTAAACGAGGGAAATTACAGGTGTGTGCCACCATGCCTGGCATAA